TAACAAATCATTTATCATTATATTTTTGAATGAAGGAGAGTTGTAAGTTGGCGATATCAGTCGAAAAACTGAAAAACCTGAAGAAGAAGAAGAATATTTTTTTAATTTTCGATTGATTTTTCTTTTGTAAAATGATAATTAATAAATATTTCTCATACTCTTATACACCCTACATAAAAATAATTTATATCTCATATAATAAGTTTGTGTAACAGTAATAATATATATATTTAAATAAACTCTATTAAATTTAAGAAAAAATCTAGTCATTTTTAAGAAAAAAAATGAACATTTTTTGCCTACACCGATGCCGTAAAATAAATATTGCTTGTCTCTTTTCTCTATAGCATTTATTCTAAATCCAAAAATATTTTATATTCAATATCAAGAAAAGACAATTACATTTTATTTAGTCTAACTAATACAAGGTAAGCTATTTATAATAAGCAATTTTATTATTTTTTACGTTTAGCCAATTTATAGTTCATGTGATTGTCTGTTTTAATTTTTAATTTCCAATATTATTTATTATTTATTATTTATTACTACTATTTATTACTATTATTACGACTACTAATTATACTTATTTAACTTAAAACAAAATCATATTAGTAAATTTCCTTCATTATTATGTCTACCTTCTTCTGGATATCATCCTTTATTTTACTAAACAAATACAACAATGAATTTAATTCCGTTTTGAATAATGTACTATTTTCTTGATGGCTTATGTCAATTTACTATTTAAAACAAACGCACAGCATTATTACATATTATAAACACATACTAAAATCAAAATATTATTGGTACTATACTATTGAGTTTATACTATTTGTTAAATCGTTCGAAGCGTCAATCCAAAGATAATATTAAGGAGTTTTTTCATATACAAATAATCAACTAATACAATAATTTGGATTTGGAGTTCTGGTCACGCAATAGTAGGATCACTATTAATATTGCTCCAATTAAATGTCAATAAAATACATCAAAATTGATGTCAATAAAGAATAATAATAATAAAGAATTCAGAATAAAAAATATTAAAATGAAAAATGTTAAGTATCAATAGAAAATATACGATTACTTTTAAAAACCAAATTGACATGAAAGCCTATTATTAAATATTGATCAGATAATAGTACGGTTTTGATAACCTATAAGCGTCCTAAACAATGACGAAAATTGCAATACAGTAAATTATATTAATTTTGGCTATTTTTATTATTATATTAATATAGCTTAAACATAATGTACAAATTATTGAAACATTATGTTTGTTTTATATCATTACGGGTACAACTTACAGTATGGAAGAAATAATTTTGTATCATTAGTTTAATTTTGGATTACGATAAACAATATTGACAATGTTTCAGTTTAGTAGTACTCAGCATAATACAATTATCGCAGCTATCTAATATTTTTTTAAATTAAATTTTTATATTTTTAAGTATATTAATGAATATACTCATATTCAAATACATATAAAATTCAAAAAATCAATTGAATTGCAATTATAGGTATACACTTTCCACGTAGTCACAAAATTACCAACCACTGTAGGTTTATTTTCCAAACCTAAACATGGCTATTATACATCTGAACATAAAAATATACATTAACATGTTACTTATGGCTTGTTTAATACAACAATTTTCAATTCAAACAATATAATATGATGTTATTGGTTTTATAGTTTGTTTTATATATTTAAATATTTGTTTGTTTAATCTTGGATCAAATAATTTCATATGAAAACTTTTGATATTCATTCTATAGTATATATTATAGAATATTTATCAATGTATTTTATATAGCCACTGCATTGATTGGTAACAGGACCTGTTCACTTCGAGATGATAACTTAAAGGAAAAAATATATTGTAACAGTACTGTACATATGTAAACTATTACAAAAAAGTATTCATTTTTATTTTCAATTATATTAAACAGAATTTCAAAAAATCAAGGCTACAAACAATTATCGAGTAAAAGTTATTTCCGTTTTCTTCTGTGTCTATCTTTGGCATATTTTACAGTTGCAAATTAATAAAATTGTAATATACCTATTTATAGATTTTCATTATGAAATTCAAAATTTTACTTTTTATAACCTTATTTCTTATGTTTGAAATACTAATGGCAAAATTATTCATTCAATTTAACGATTATTTAATTTTTATGTTCCTAATATACTTAAAGTATAATTGGACATAAAAATTCAATCCAAGGTCAATAGTGTGCATTTGAAAACTACATAACTTTATTCCTGGGCAACATCTTTAGAATGAAACATTAAGTAGTGAAATTAGTAACTTTTAGGATGTTGTAGTGAGAAAAATTTTAATTACATAGGAAATTTTTTGAACTATCTCGATGATTAAAAAAAAAACCCAGATCTTATACTTATACATCTTTAATATTTCATAAGATAAAATAAAATAATCCATCAAGAAAGAAGACATGGTGTTCTTTTATACAATCTTGTGAAGAGAACTTTTATTTTAAATTCCGAACACAAAAACGAATAAATTTAATTAAAATATAAAATCGTTTTAATCAATAACATACTTATTCAAACAAAATAATTAAGTACTTGGATATGTTGTTACTTACAATACTGTTATATTATGCTAGTGACATGTAAGATACCTACTTGTATTTCAAAATAAATCTAATAATGCTAATAGTTCATCGAAATTGATTAAAATAGTCATAATTATTAATTATTGGAGCTTCGGAAATTGTTGCATATACAACATTTTTTTCTTTTGTTTGAATTTATTGCATAGTAGGTTATAAATTCATCTCATGCAAGAACAAATTTAAATTTAATAAAATGTTAAATCAAATTAATGAAACTATGTTAATATTTTCGATTTGATTAGAATTTTGATGATTTTTCTAATTTATAATACTGGAAATTTTAGGAAACTTTTTAATGTAATGTAATTCATTTTTTATTATGTAAGAAATAAAATAACGATGGGAGCCGTGTTAGATATTAATATATGTAAGAATAGTAGAATTATAATAAATAATAATTGATAGTAAATAATAATAATAATTTGATAAGACGATGCACTAGTCATTTATCGTGTAGTGAAATAATTCTTAAGGTATTGAAAATAAAATAAAAATTATTCAAATAAAACGTTTAAAAAATTGTTGGTGATTTTTTTTGTAGGCTCCTGGGAAACCAGACTAAAACCACTATTATAGTATTAATATGAATTTTTATTTAAAAATATTTTGTAAAATAATTCGCATTAGTTATATGATAAGTCTTAATAAAGAATACTTGTAAAAATTATTTATAAATACCTAGTCATTTTAATTTCAAAAAAATTTACTGCAAATTTTAAGTGCAATTTTGGTTATTTTTTACTACAATAATGCAATAAATTTTAATGTTTTTTAGTGCAATAACTTCTGAGTCCTAGTTATAAGTTATAACTCATAACTTTGAATAGATTTTATGCTTGTCATAGTTTATAAATGACATGTACGATTTTTTTAAAAATTAAAATAAATAGTCCGTGATTGAATATAATGAATTTTTTTTCACTTTACAATCAATAAAAACCTGTGTATAACACCTGTCGCGTGAAATATTTTTCAAGGTAGGGAACTTGTGTGTATTTTATAACGGTTAAGCTTTCCTATTCGTTCCGCAGCTGTAGGTGTGGTTGTTGTCAATTTAAAAATTATTAAGCGAGGACGCGTACATATGTAAGTATTACTTTGTCCGCGTTACGTGTAAAAGCGTACACAGGTAACCTATTATTGTGCTACTAATGAATTAGTTTCATCATTCACGATATATTTTTGGTAAAATATTATATCATAGGAAACGTTGACGATTAACAAATCCGTTTCAATGCACTGCACAATGCGAAGCGTATTAGAATGGTGTAAATGATGAATTTATTGGCTAAATGTTCGTCGTTTATCGTAGGGGCGATAACCAAAGACCGCGCACGTAAAAACAGAGTCGTCCGCGTAGGAAACGCGGAGGAGGATCGATGCTCAGGCTCCAAACAGTGCGCCGAAAGAACCTGATCGAAACAATGTCGTCCGCGGTCGATCGCCTGCCCGATTTCGGTGTCCGGGTCACAACAAAAAGTTGAATCCGACAAGTCGACGATATCGTCGGGGCTTTAATCCGTCAACGGTAGAACCAAAGCCGGTTCTCCGAGACGAACCCGGTGCCGGGCGCGCGCAGCCGCATAATATTAACGTACGGTTTCCGACGGGGACGACGATTGAAATATCGTTTTATCTCGCGTCCGTATCTTTTACGGATTGGCCGCGCGCGCGTTTTTCTCATTGTTCCCGAGCCGGCAGCGTCGTTATCGACGCGACCACCCCGCCGCCGGTCGACTTCTCTTGCACTGAGACGGTCGGGAACACGTATACGCATAAAAAAAAAAAATAATATATATATATATATATGTATATGTATATTAAATACATACCACACACGGGCGCGCGCGAGTGCACCTATACGTTCGGTACCCGTTGGGTGTTATTAATACGAACGCGTGAAGAGCGATGGAAGCAGGTAATGGGGGTACTGTAGTGTTTCGGTAATAACAAAATGTTTATCCCGTGTCGTAAAACAAAACAAACAGAGGGAGAACGATAAAAAAAAAAAAAAAAAACCCCCCGCGTAAAATTTCTCGATCACAATAATATTTATTAAAGCGCGCGCGCGCACCGTCGAGAAGCGGAGGCGCGAGGGAACGTGCAGCGACGACGACGACGCCACCACGGTCGTCAGCGGCGGCGGCGGCGGCGGCGACGATAAATTATAATTGCGCGGCGGGCGACGTCGTAACCGAATGTACACACACACACACACACACACACACACACGTGAACGCACGCACGCGCTTGCGCGTACAACGAGCACAAACACAACCGGGCTCGGTGAATATGTGTGTAGGTTTACGGAGTTAGCGGCGGCCGGTGCCCCTCGCGCCCCACCGTCTTTGCCGCTTTAACACACCTTCGTCGCCGTCGTCGTCGTCGCCGTCGCCGCCGTCGCCGCCGCCGCCGCCGTCGTAGTGGCATACTCGTAGTCAACCGGCACCGTGGTGGGGATCAGTGCGTTCGGCCGTTTCGCCTGTCGTCCGCTGTGTTTGGGCACGTTCCATCCCCGGCGCAACAGCAGCAGCAGCAACAGCGCGCGGCATCGCAGTGCGATCACCGACGGCGTTGTACGTTTGTTAACCAGTACCAACCGATTTTTCGTTAATCTTCACGTTTTACCTTACCGGTCTCTCTCTCTCTCTCTCTCTCTCGGAACACCATCGTCGTTGCAATACCGGTGTGCGTCGGACTGACGGTCGTATTATTAGTACCTACTCGTACACGCAGAAAACGGTACAACGGAAACAAAACTCGCGCTCACGACGGCACCAGCAGCGCGACACACGTATTTCGTTACACACCGTTATCAATATTGTTCGGCGGTGATAGTGGTGCGGATTTCGTATCGTTATTTGCTGCGGTCGAAGTTACTTGTTGATTTTTCTTTCCGGACGCGTGTCCCGGTCCCCCCTCCCCTCGTCCCTTTTCGTCACCAAACCCGGGACCGTGTCGTCGTCCGCGCTTCGAACGTCCCGAACGCGCGCGCGAGTCCGCTCGCACCGCGTACAAATCTCGGTGTCGCGCGTTCCGTGTGTGCGCCGCCGTCTCGCTCGCACGCGTCATACCACGCGCACGCACGCACGTTCACGTACAAACAACGCGCACGCACGCGCTACCCTCGATCGCACACTTGCACGCCGTAGAGCAGCGCACGGACGCATACCGAAACACACGCACCGGATGCGAAAATAATCGCGCAGTCCACTACCGCACACTGTTACGCCGGATGCACCGTCACGAGCAGCAACAGCAGCTGAGCCGACGCGACGCTGATGCGAAGACGGTCGATATGTAGACAGCAGCATGAACAACGTTCGTCGGCCGGTCGTCGTCGCCACCACCACCACCGCAGCAGCAGCTCTTGCACGCCTCCCCGAGAGCGCACCGTCGTTGTCCTGAACAGCCACCATGGACCATTCTTCGGCGGCGGCGGTCCACACGTCTAACGAAAGGTACATATGACGCGCGCATAACACCGTTGTTGTTTTTGTTGTTGTTAATGTTCTCATTGTATCCCACGGGTCTCCCGCCGTCAACAGTGTCGTACGATTCGTTTGTCACGCACAACTCCACACACCTTAATGCTTTGCTGTTACAACTGCATTGACTACGCATGACCACTCGATCACTGTATCTCGCTCTTGCAATACTCCGCTGTTGAACACTGGTTCCATGACTGTAATCCTTTGTCTTCAAGGTCGATCGAATAACGCCATCATCTGTTCTCTTTTCTTTCATCATACGTTTATTTACACCTCCTGTTTTTCGAAATGATCATCAAGATGTTCGCAATCCTACGTAATGAGTCACTTATTCTATGCCTTCACTTTCTCTAAAAACGCTAAATCAAGATTATTTCCTTAATGGTATTGTTTAGTACAACCTATATATACCTACCATACAGTTTCCAAATTTATCGGTATAGTTATAATACACATCAGCTTATAAGTTACATTTTCAAATTTACATTAAACCTGATATTTATAGTATTTCTAATCAAACTTGTATGTCTTCAATCTTTGGATTATGTTAACGATTTGAACATTTAATCAATTGATATTAAAGTTTCAACTTATTCCAATTGATATCTCATCAAAACAAAAGTTATTTGGTTATAATATTTTTATTAAATATTTGAATAAAAATTTATATATTTCAAGTTGATTGTGTTAACTTTAATATGCTTATAAAATTATCATTACGTATAACTCTTATATTTTGGTTTAATTAAATTAAAAAATCTAATATACTATTATATGTATTTATAACTAACTAAAATATAATTATTCTTTAATTTAAACAATCTTAATATTTAACCATATTCAATTCTAACAAAATGTTAACTAAATTTGATGTTTTTGGGGCGACAATTAAACACACTTAGAACTATGATAAACCACTATTAAGTAATAAATAAGGTTTGCCAAAACACATTCAATGTTAACATTACTTATTATCTATTATATACTAAAAACAATTAAATTTATTATATTAAGATATTGATTACTAGGCGTAAATTAAATGTTTCCTTTTAAAAAATAAACATTTATTTTTAAATACTTTTGTAAAAGAGTAATAACCGTGTACTTTAATAGATATTATACTTGATTAATTTTTATATTAAGCCTATTTTTCAATTTTATTTATCAATATTGTAAGTACCAAATATTTGATAATAAATAAATTTGATATATTAATGTTATGAGTCCTTAATTATTCATTACTAAAAGTATATAAAGTACTCATAGTCAGAGCTGTATTGTATTAGGAATTTACCGCTTGGAGGGAAAAAAATGACCCATTAAAAAATATAAAGTTAAGCACCCTTTTTAATATAGTACTATAGTGAAAGAATTATTTTTTAATTAGGTATTTATTTTCTTAAAACCATACTGTTGATACATAATACTAATTTTTGATTTATATACAATATGTTTATACTTACTATACTTATCTCTAGATATTCAGTCGACATGTTCAGTATTTGAAATATCTTATCTATACAAAAATTTTGATTGCAATAACAGTTAATTATAGTAGTTTATTAAAATAAAAAAAAAATAAGTAGGTAAGTGTAAGTAACATACCAAACATTTTAATGAATATATGCCCTTGCTTGTCTGGTTAATTATTTATTATTAATAAGTAAATTGCTTTTTTTAAAAGATTTAACATTTTGCGCTTTTATTCTAGCTTACTGAATCATTATTTTATTAATAATTATTATAATTTTATTATAATAAAAAAATATTTTAAGTAATTTTTTCTGATTAAAATATCTAAACAATATGTTATGTTTAGGTATATATTTTGCTTCAATATGCATTATATATTAATATGTTACAATATTTTATTGTAAAGGTTTCGGATTGAAAAATATTTGTATGAGATTTTATTGAAAACTCTTTTGGTTCAGTCCAAACCAACGTTTAAAAGAAAAAAAAAAAATTTAAACATGATAAATTATTATTAATTTACTTATGTTTGTATATTTATATAACTTTAAATATACTTTATTAATATTTTATTTTTATGACAAAATGTCCACTTTTTATGGTGGCATTTTTTCTTAGGTTCAAGGTGAATGTATGATATGTAATTTGTGTTGTGTCAGTATTGAATTTATACCTTTTTTTTAAAAGAATTGGCAATACTACCCGCCCCTTGGAACTCTATGGGGTAGTTCAAGTGGTGGATCACCATATACTATTAATTAATACAATAAAATAAATGATCACTCTTTCATGCTTGTGCCCAAGGAAATTATTTGTATTGAGGATTATATTATTTACATGTAATTTCATTCTTTAACTTACATCTCTAAAGAAAATTATTATTGTATACTTACTTATTTTTTCTTTAAGTATTTCATGCTCTTGCAGATTTGATCAATTTGTTATCTATTCATTTTATCTATAATTATCTTTCAAGTATAAATAGCGAAGTATGAGATAGGTCAGAAAGATATTTGAATTATATCATAATTTGTTAAAAACTGAGTATTTTCTAATGCATAGTTTTTTCTAATATTTATTTTGCTTAGATTCTAGTTTATCTACTTCAATTGTTTATTCTATTCATTTACTTAATTTTTCTGACTTTAATCTCTATATGTTAAATGTTTTATCTCTATGTTTAAGTGATTTTTCTAATAGAATAAATAGTTCAGTTTACCTTTGCAGAGTTACTTAATTTTACAAAATGTATAATAGATTAATTTATTTAGTAATTTATGCTCTTACTAAAAATATTAATTAAAAATGTTATGTAGGTTATATCAAAACATTTAAATGGACCTGGGTTAAAAAAAAAGTCATAATGGTAATATTTGCATCTGTTTTTTATTACCCTACTGTTACCTTGAGACAGATGCATGTGCATGCAAAATATCTTGTTCCTTGTTTTAAAATTATTTATTCATTCATCCAATTTTATAATAAATTTAACTTTGAAAAAATTATTATAAATAATAGAACTTGTAAAAAGGTACTATTTGTATGTAAGATTAATGTGTTGAACTTTCATACAATTTGTAGTTAAAAAATGTAATTATATTTATTTTATTCAATGAATCATAAATAATATACTGTTAACTTTTTTTTTTTTTTAGGAATTATGTTTTTATAAAAAAAAAATTGCGTTCATCTTATACTATCATACTGGTTTTTTTCATTGCTTAAATGAGCTATCATTTATTTTAAGTGACCTTTGATTATTATGCTAAATTAAATATTTGAAATTATCAAAGTAAATGTTAGTAAACAACTTTTTAGAAAATAACGTAATTCAATGCTGTCCGATATATTAATTCTAAAATACTAAAATAAATGTAGGTAACATGTTTGACTTATTTGCTAAACAAATCAAAAAATTATTTCCGATATTTAATAATAAAACAATCAATTATAAATCACAACTAATTGAAAATAAATACTGTAATATAAACTTAATTAAAATAACAATAAGTATAGTATATAACTTAAGTGGTTTTTATTATAATAATTACTGTTCATATAGTTATGTATATTTTTTTTATTTTTATATGATTAGGTAGTTAATTATTTGATGTAGCTATATCATATTTTGCTCTATAGTCTGTTCTAATCGTTAATACACCATACATTATTAGTAATTAGATTTATGTAATTTGATTACAAAAGGACAGAAATTTCTGACTGCTTATATAAGATTGTTTTAGTATATTTTATTGGTAATATATTATGTAAATATCCTAGTTATTGTATTAGTAGTTATTTAAAATAAAATACAATTTTAGAAATAACAATTTCAAATTATCTTCAAGAAAATTAAGTAAATTAATATCAATGAGTATAGATTTTATAAAAAAAATTATATATATGGTATTAAGTGTAAGTATCCAATTGCGTAATCAGTGACGCAACTATTGATGGGGTTTGGGGGTTATTACCCTCCTCCCCCTAAATTTTTCTGCAGTTTTTAAAAACTATGCAGGAAAAAAAATGATTTATTTTGAAGATGCGAAATAGCTGATTGATATGAAATACAAATATTATTTGTATTATAATTGATAACTATAATAATATATCAATATGGAACATTTTGTAACGTTCCATTTAGCTTAAAAACATCAATAACCTTGCTACTACAATTTTTCAATAGTCGATTGTATAATATTTTTTTTTTTGTGGTATCACAATATGAAATAGTAGTTAATCAGTATTAATTTATAATTTAAATATTTTACTCATAAACCTTAATCTTACTTCCTTATCCCTACCAAACACCTGCAGAAAATGCTTATTTTTTCCAAATTCACAAATAAAATATTTAAATAATAAATAATGATAAAAAACAACAAAGTGAGCGTGGCATGGTGCTCACTCAACACCAATGGCGGGTCGTTACATAGCAATACAATACTAATGATGGGTCGAGTAAACAATTGTATATAATTAATTATGTACTCACTCAGTGTCAATATCAAAATCAAAATATCTTGATATAAATATTGAACAGTTGCATTGCATTCCTTTGATATACCTTTTGAATATACAAAAAAATCTTTTAGGCAATCTTTCGTTGATTATCTGATTATCTGAGCCCGATGTATATTTTAACTCAATGCATTTACAGTATAAAAAAAAAAACATTCACATTTTTTAAAGTAATGTTAAAAGGATTATTTATAAATGGTTATTTTTAGATTTGAGCAATTTCCTTGTTTAAGTTCTTTTAATTATATTAATAATATAATATAATATTATATAATAATATTTGTTGAAATTAAGTGTATTATATTTATTATTTTAGTTTTAATCATTTAGTACCTATCTTATTTCTATTTGAATATATCTATTTGCATTTTTTCTCATTCATTTGGTTTTTTATTTAGTAATTTTTTATTATTCTCTAACACAAGCATCTGCTTATAAGAGATAGATAATCATATAGTCTATTTATATTTAATTGTATTGTTAATTTTGTTTTGATGATTTAATTAGTGTTCGAGAATATAGTGTAATGTCTTCTATTAGATATTTCTAAAAACAATTGGTGCATCCTGAATCTTTTTGATGTACTCCTGCTTTTTTTTTTTTTTTTTTTAATAAGAGCATATGGCTTAGTAAATCAGTTTCTAAGAAATTTTGAAACTGATGATAAAGTATGCTTTCATATTCACAAAAATACTAATGCAATTTGCAGCACCATTAATGCATAGGCTGAAATGTTTACAGCACCACTGACATGCTACTAGAATAGCTGCTGAATGGTTATGTGTAAAAGTGGCCTAATTTTCTTAGTTGCCAATCCCTCTTAAACAAATAGATTATAATAAGAAAATAAAATTATCTTCCATTAGTATTATTATTTGAAATCTACACTAAAAATAGTCATATCTTAATGCTTAAAAATATTGTACATGCTTATTTATTTAAGCATTAATTGTTATTCTAAAAAGCCATATTTCATAGTAAAGTAAAATCTGTCCAATATGGAACCTGAATAATATGAAAATGTGTCTTTTATGGAAAAATTATTAAAAACATCATGTCCTGAATAAGATGGAACTTGTCAAACATGGAAATGGAAACAATATTTTTATCATATACCTGTTTATCACGGAAATACCGATGGGAATACCTATTTAAATATTAACAGTTATTAAATATAATCTATATTGATTAGGATAATTTTGTTGCACTACATTTATTTTTTCGTTGTAAATAGTGTTGTAATTAGTGATGGGTCGAACCCTGGTTTTTTAAATCGAACCGAACTTTAAATTATTTTTTCAAACTCAACCGGACCTTCATATTTTCTACCAAACCGAACCGAACCGAACCTATTATGATTTTAAGTCAAACTCAATACTTTTTATCATGTACATTGTACCTACTTACAAATTAAATCAACCATAATCATTAATTACTATTGTATTTTAAGTTTTCGTATTACCTATTCTACATTTTAACTTTTAAGTCTAAGTAATTGTATTATTAACAATACATTTAAATTCTAGATAATTTCTTATTATTATTATTATTATTTTTCAAAACCAGTCTTGTGCTCTCTCGTGCTGTCTTATAGCTTATAAAATATTCATTGAATATTCAGTGTAATATGACAATATAATCAGTACATTTTAGTAATATAAAAAAAAATAGTAATAACAACTATAATTCAGAATTATAGAATGATAAGTAAAATTTATAAAGTAAGACGTAAGTTGTAAACATGTTTTTTATTAACAGCACAGTCGCGGTATTGGAATATTACCATGGATTTACTCAAAATATATTTTAATCTCTACAATAAATATGATAAAAATAAAAATAGCTAATTTATGAATGTAGATACACTGCCTCTATTGGCGATAAACAACTTATTAATGTATTGGTTGGTGGATGGTGGATGTGTAACATGCGACTGGAAAAATAACATTATTATTATAAATAATGCATAACGTGCCCTTTACAGATTATCACTTTCTATTGCCAATAGTCTAATTATTTCTTAATAATCATTATCAATTTTTATTTTTCAAAAATAACTTTTGAAGAATTGTACAAATATTTAGTTTTCGAAATATCGTGGCCAGTAAATCTAGTTCTAGAAATATTTTCAAGTTCGATTTTCGAACAGTAAAAGATGCTTGATAATTTGGCTCCATCTTTTTTCATGCAGAGTTCGAATTTCAAACCGAACCAAACATCAAGTGTTCGGTTCGAGATTCGAACAGTTTGACCCATCACTAGTTGTAACATGTAGTAGTGTTTTGTATTTATAACATCTCTTGTTGCATAAAGTGTTTGTGTTTAAATATTTGTTAACTTTTTTATTATTTATAATTTTTATATTTTACATTTTTATTTTTTATTACATAACTCAGTTTGTCAAAAATCAATAAATATTTAACTTAAAATGAAAAATTAAAATAAATTTGTAATTTTTAAATTTATATTTTTTAACTTCATATGTATAATAAAAAGTTAGTAAAATTTAACAAATAATAAAGGAATATGTATAAAATAAAAAATATTTATTATAACTTTTATTGTTCACCCGTATTAAATAGAAATCTGTTTAAAATAGAAAAAATATTCGGTCTCAACCATTTATATATTATATAAGTTGTACTATATATCTATGATTTTAAAATCTATACTCATTAATAACAGATATGTTAAATAATTCTTTTTTTAAATTAAACAAATTTATTATTTAATATTTGTTTGAATTATTTTAAAAATTTCTAATAACTTACAATTTTTGGTTTTTTTGTTTTTAAATGTTTGTATACTTGTTTAAATTTTCTTTAGTTATTATTTTTTTGATTAATGATGATATATTGCTTAATCGTTGACAGTATAATTATTTTAACAGTATTTTTAAGTGTATTTTTTTCTTTTTGTTGTAGGTTAGAAGGTGTAGAACTAATTTGAGTGTTAAATAATATTTTTAAAAAAAAACAGTCTTCAAGTTTGATAATTTATTGAATATTTAATTTATATTTTACAGGCTAGTTGAACATAAATCTCCTCAACCATTAATTGCCGAAGCTTTAGATTCTTCAACAAACATACCTTCTACAACCACATTGACTGTAATAGTTGTAAAAGATGAAAGGGGATATGGTATGAAAGTATCAGGAGATAATCCTGTATTTGTGCAATCTGTTAAACAAAGTGGAGCAGCAGAAAGAGCAGGTTTACATAGTGGTGATAAAATTATTAAAGTTAATGGTGTTAATGTTACACATTCTACACATACAGAAGTTGTAGAACTTATAAAATGTAAGTTTGTTTTTATTATATGTTTATCAATGGTTAAAACATTTTTATACCCTCTGTAGCTTCTACCCAAGTCGAATTAACAGTGCAACAAAGGCCTTTAACTATAAACTCATCAAATCCTAATTTAACATTGCTGCCATTGTCATTACCAGCAATGAATTCTACTACTGTTTCTCCTGTAACACCATCCAGACCTTTACATCATCATCATTCAGCTCCTGCACGTGATCGAATAACAGGACCTCAACCTGTTGATGTATGTATAATAAGATACATTTTTTTTTTTATTACTTAATTTACTAATTTAATTAAATTATGTTTTTCTGAATAGATAAGATTTAAAATTTGTTGTATTTTTATTTTAAATTCATTATTTAGAATTCCTCTAATTATTTTTGTTTTAATTAAACTAAACATAAATTTTGCTTTTATGGTTACAAATATTATTATTTTTTCCTACCACGAAGAAATTAATATTATTATAATATTTTTAATTCACGTATTTGATTAATATAAAATTTAAAAATACAATAAACTAAAGTCAACTTAAAGTCTTCTTTTAAATATAATAATAGGTACTATTACTTTAAAATGTAAAATAATCAATAGAATAATATAATAATAAAATATTAAATGGTTTAATGACTCCAAATGAAGTAACTAAAACCCTAACTATACCTATACCTTTATTTATTTTAATTTTGATTATATTTGAAAAAATACAATTGAATGGAAAAGAAATGTACGACTTAAATAATAAAGAATAAATGCATATGTTTTTATTTAATATAAAGTCATGATTTGATTTAAATTATAATTTACAAATGTATATTTACTATAATATTTCAATTTTCAAGGTGGAACAAATGAGGCATGTTGAACTAGAAAGATGGCAAACATTCAGACTTATGTTGGAGAAAGAGCAACGGTATGTGGATGCTTTAAAAAAAGAACTTCGATCTTCAGATTTATCCAATAGTGATAATAAGTTGAAGAGAGATTTAACAGGAGCTGAACGCCGAGTTAAAACATTACAAGATCAATTAACCACGTTTAATGAAATACCGGTAGTGTACAATTATTTGCTGTAAATATTTAATAGGTTTGCAAAACATATAATATAGTCGCATGTTCTATTTTTCATTGCAAATAGAATTGTGACATTTTCGGTATTGTCTATTAAGTATACTTAGTTATTTTTATTTCATTAGTATAAATAGTACAATTTTTGATAATTTTAAAGTTTAATTTAACATTCACAATCATCGCATATTTGTTAAATACATCTTAAATGTAATTAATATACAATCAGTGCTTAAGGCTTGTACATAAGCTTTTATTACATCTTTATCATATTTATTTCTTTTTATTCTTAATTATATTCAAAATAATCAAATATCAAATTTAATACAATTGGTCTATCCATAGTTTTTTGTTTATTATTATTTAAAATTATACTAAATTAGCTATTGTAGTAACTAATCAAATATATTATAAACAAGATTTGTGAATGTTAATATTTTTTAAATTTATCAAAAATCTACAGATTGTATATTTTGTAGTATATTTTTTTTTTTTTTTTTTTGATATATTTATGTATATAATTTTAGTCTTGTTATATTGTTTGTGTCCTTTGCTCGTGAATTTAATATTTAAATAGTTGAGTGTTCTAAAATGTTTTGCTGATTTTAATTTATCAACATACTTATTTTTAGTTTCAACAGTTATTTAATATTTTCATTGGAAATTATTTGAAAACATTTATAAATTAAATGAATTTAACTAACTGTTTCTACATTCTTTAAACTTTCTTTGGTATAATCAATTAAAATTGTCATAATGAATATACTACATTCTTTCCATATATTTATTACAAAGCATGCAGTGGTGCAATCAGGATTGGTTTTCGGTGAGGGGGGGGGGTGAATTTGGAAAAAATAAACAGGTATTGAGATAAGGAAGTGAAGTTAAGTTAGTATTATGAGTAAAATATTTGATATACAAATTAAACTATTAAACTTCTATTTCATATTGTGATACTACAAAAAAAAGTATTATACAATCGACTATCGAGAAATCATAGTAGCAAGGTTATTGATGTTTTAAAACTGATCGGAACGTTAGAAAATGTCATGTTATTATTGTTATCTATTATATTACGAAAATAATATTCATATTTCATATCAATCAACCGTTTCGCATGTTTAAGAAAAACCATTTTTTTTTCTACGTAGAATTTGTATAAATCTCAGAAAAATTTTGGGGTGTTACAACCTCCAAATACCACCCCTAGTTGCGCCACTGAAAGCATCTACATTAAATTAAAAGTGGTCTTATCATCTTATCATTATTTCATAACAACTTATTCATATTCTATGACTTATCTAAGCCACATGAATCATTTTGTAAGAAATTGGAATGTTGAAAAGAAAAATTAAATATTTCTTTAATATATTGACTGTTCCTATGCACTAATGTATGTCTATTGAGTGATTGACTAGAATAATATGATAAAATGTACATAATGTTGCATTTAATTAATTATGCTGTAATAATTTAGTTTATATTAAAGTTAGCACCTGCTTATTATTCCAATTCTTTTCGATCTTCATCTAGTTTCATTGTAGTTACAATTATGTACCTTTGAATATCCATTTTCCTTTCCAAGTGTTTGTACTTACTTTTTTTTTAACACAATCGTATGCATATTTATTATGTTGACAGCTTTGTAATATTGTTGCACAAGCATCTTCACTACAGCCTCCTCCACTACCACCGAGAAACCCACCACCACTACCTCCTAGAAATCCAACGGCCCCTTTGATTAGTGATAAGCAGTCGAATAATTCACATATCACTGGTGTTAACAATAGTCAAACTGTAAGTACGCGATGATTGTTTAAAACCGCTTTCAATCTATTATCTCGGATAATTTATTAAAATTTCAAAAGTTGTATTCTTAACGTAAATATTAATTTATCATAGTCATCAATCATAAAAGCATTATTGAAATAAAAATTCATAGTTATTGATATATAATAAGAAAATTTGAGATCAAATCAAAATTGATAAATAATTGTACATTAGTGAATTGAAAATTTCAAACAATTATATCCATATATAACTTATCAGAGGATAAAATGTTGTCTGTATTATAAAAATATAATTAATGCTATTTTCATTTTTATTTTAAATTTTGAATCAAACACCACCATAAATGTATCTAGTTAGGTTGGAAATCATTAACTAAGTATTGTATATTATTATCATACTTCAATGCTTGTAAATCCATTAAAGGTAGGTATATAGTAAAAAAAAAAAAAAAATCAGTTTTGAAAGATTGTATTGCATGAAAATTATGATATTTGTATTTTGTTTAATTTTTTGATTGATATTAATTATTTTGTGCTCGTTTATTTTTACTAAGTTTTTTAAAAACAATCTATTTTTATATGGTTTGTTAGCATAAGTTATGTTTTAGGTATATGGGTTGTATATTTCTTGAACTTTTTTTATTACTTATCTATTATAAATATATTATTTATATTGTTATTATTTACCATAATTTTTAATAACCTATATTTTTTCTAGGATTCTCCTAATCTCTCCCTTGGTCATCAACGTACAAAGTCTAATCCTGATCAATTAAGTGAAGGTAAACCATTAGGTTAGTAAATGATAACTATTACCATAGTTGTTTTTTTTAACCTTCTATTAATTTTGAAAGCTTATTAAAACTTTGGAGTTGTTGCTTGTTAAATCAATTAATTTTAGCAAATAGTTAATATAATGATTTCTCGGATTACTTTTTTTTTTTTTAATTTTTACATTGAGTTAAATTATTTACTATTAAATTGAATAACAATTTTCTACTTTCTTAATGAAGTCAAACCTACTTTGTTACCAAAATACAATATATAGTTATGTATAATGTATCATTTATTATGTAAAATTATCAAAGTATTATAAATATAAAACTAGGAATATAACTAATTCAATAAGATTATTTTAAGATGATCCATTTTATTGTTGAGTATTAAGCTTATATAAATAAATATCTTTGTATTATATATTAAAATAATCCACAATAACTATTGTTATATTGTCGATTTTATATTACATAAAAATATTAATTTTTGTTATAGGCACCAAAAAGTTAAGTTTGTCAGAATCTTTCAATGACTTACCTTCTGTAAAACTTTCCAAGGGTGGCTTAGCCTGGGATGTGGTATCACCACCTCGTTGTCATTCTCCTAACAGATCTCCTGATATTTCTAGCTCCTATGACAAATCTTGTATAGAAATGGTAATAATAATTGGTTAAATTTATATAATAATTAAAGTTATACTTTTTGTTTTATTTTCACTGTGCTTCATTGTTCTAGAATAAACATGGAATTGGCGATCGATGCTCGGTTAATTCAGTTGAATCAAAATTAATTCAATCTCCTATTATATCAATGGAGGATGATGAAGTTTCAGATCAAGAATCTGTAAATTGATCTTTTATTAATAATACTTTTATTTATGTATAACTATATTTCTTTTATTTTTTTAGAATCATTTAGAAGAACATGGTCCATTTAAAAGTTTTACAAAACTAGTAGAACACAACGCACATTTAGCAGTATTTTTAAACTATGTTATATCAAATAGTGACCCCTCAGCTTTAGTATGTTAAATTCTTATTATCAAAGATTTAAGTTTAAAATGTTTATGTTTATGTTTCTAGCTATTCTATTTAGTTACAAACTTATTTAAAGAAGGCAATGCCAAAGAGATGAAGAAATGGGCTTATGAAATCCATTCCAGTTTTCTAGTGCCTTGTGCTGTAAGTTATTTTAAATTTTATATTTTAACTAAATACATCATTTAACACATGTATTTTTAGCCATTGAGACTGAATAACATTGAAGACAATATTGTTCGTGAAATCGATGATATTTTACAAAAAGATTCGGATCGCGAAGAAATTTTGCGCAAAGTACGTAAAAATAAAAATAACTCCATTTTTCAATATTTGAGTTATTAACTCTTTAATTAATTTAGGTGTTCTGGAAAGCACGAACCAAAGCCAAAGAAGAATTGAATGAACAGTTGAGTGATTTTCGTCATCGAAGAACAGCTGGCCTTGGTACTCTATTTGGCCCTCCTGATTCTCAACTTGATGATAGTATTAATGATAAACCTAAGGAATTAAAAATAATTGAAATGATTCTTGTTCCTAATATGGAGCCATTTATGTAAGTTATTTTAATTATATTTGTACATTCAATGAATTATTAATATTTTTTTTTTTTAGAGAGGACATGGATAAAGAAATTGTAGATGATAGAAGATTCACCATGGCTGCTGCACTTGCTACTGTTATGTCTAAAATATTTGGCCTTCGCGGTACTCAATTTAGTTCTCTTTTAGAACGATGCCCTACATTTGTTTCCAAAGAAAAATCCTTTAAGGCTAAACTTATAGGAAAATGTCGAAAAGTAATTATAATATATTTAAGCACTATAAAAACAATTTAAAATTACACTTTATATGATAAATCTATCAGTATAACTTACATCTTATGATCCCTTATTCAACATCAGCTCATTCAATATAACAGATAAAATATTTTCTCATTAAATGTTATTATGAATGATTCTGTTTCATCTATTTATACATACATATATATAATAAAATAATGTTATTAATTCACAAATTTTTATTTTATTTTCAGTTTACTAACAAAGGGCATCATTTTGTTGCACATCAGTATTTCACTGTGACTTATTGTAATCATTGTCAATTAATTATTTGGGGAATTGGTCCACAGGGTTATCAATGTACAAGTATGTAAAGTTTTATTTATAGTACGTATTTGAGAAACATAATATAACAAAATAATTATATTTGCAGATTGTATTTTAAATATTCACCGTGTTTGTGTAAAAGTTTTGGAAGAAAACTGTCCTGGTCCAATTGTGAAAAAAGATAAAGGAAATGATCGCATTAGTAAATTAATGGATAAAATAAGACCTGAACGTGAAACCCGAAGAAAACCTGGTATAAATTTTGTTCAAAGTAATTATTACTATATATTATTCTGAATTTTAAAACAATTTTAACTAAATTTGTTTAAAGTTGAAAAGTCAAAGAGACAATCTGAAGATTCTGGGGACATAGTTGGTGCTCTTCCAGATAAAGAATTGGGTATTTATTCAATTTAATTATTATGCTAATATATATATATATATATATATATATATGATTTAAAACAATTTTAATATTGTTTATTATAATTATGTAGATCGATCAAGTTTAAGTGGAAGTAGTTTCCATATTAAAACTGATGATAGTTTTAAATCAGAGAAGGGAGATACAAGTATTGTTGAAGATATGTAAGTTTCATATTTGCTCTAGTATATTTATTAAATAATGTCTCTTTTTATTCAACAAACATTTTATAATAGCTCACACTATCCAAAGCTCAAAAAACCATCAGGAATCTCTATAAACCGATCTGAAAGCTATAAAGAACGTATCCATCAAAAGGTATTATTTATTGTATAAAAATAATAGTATTTACATGTAATGTTACTCATGTAATACAAATGTATTGTCTATGACTATATTAAAAATTTAAATCTATAGTTTAAATTTAATGTGATTTAATATAAGATATTTGATATTTGATTACAATTATATATAAAAATTCTATGCTTATTGTATTAGCTCATACTTAGTTAAAATATTTGTCCTTTATTAATTTTATTCTAAGTCAGTTATTTTACTCGTGTAGAATATGGAGACAACAAATTTTTATATACAAACTCATTAAGATTTAGTTTTGTGTTATAATTATATCTTTTGTTTATAGCGTCAAATTCGTGAAAGAAGAAAAACTAGTGATCCTAATCTTCCTTCAAAGTACAAAACGTGAGTGCAAAATATACTAAAAGTTTACTTTAGTATATATATATAATAAAATAATTTATAGTGAACACAAAAATAGTTTTTATTAAACTAATAAGTTGTTAAACTTGTAATTTATGAAATGCCTGTTAAATTTATGCTCAATTTTTCGAAATCTTAAAACTTTCTTTATTGTTTTCTGTAACTATTATTATTTTTGTACTTGATATTTGTATAGCTAAAACTAAAATAAGAATATATATTGAAAATGTATCTAGAATATAATAATTCTCAAAGATAACAAATTTATAGCGTTAAGAGAGTCCACATTTTTATTCTTCTTTTGGTTCATTAAATTTTATAGTTTTTTTTTTCATTGCAATTCGGGCAATTCTTCATTGTTACTGATTAGAGATCACTAACATAAATTGGTTCATACATTTTTATTATTTTTTTTTTCAATTGATAACTAGTAAATTGAAAAATAACATACAATATATTGTTTCCTATTCCAAAAAGAATCATATTTTTGATTTTATTACTTAATTAAATAGATATACTTTAAAATTTTAATGTATTACTAACATTAACACGATTTTACTTTATTTTAGTGATGTAGAACAAGAAATGCCGTTTTCATTTGCACATTCTGATAGCTCTTCAAATTCTAATTTATCAACAAAGTAATTTTTTCGTATTATTTGATTGACAATATTAATAACTTTAACTTTACTATGGAATAGAAGCTTGGACAGTCGTAGTACATCATTAGAAGGAATTGGACAAGGTGGAGAAGTTACTTCATGTTTAGATAGTGATTCTGATGATGAATTAGACTTACCAGATTGGGCTAGTAATGTTCCACCTGAAATATTAGAACAATTATCATCTAAAGAGAAGAAACGCCAAGAAGTCATAAACGAACTGTATCACACTGAAAGATCTCATATTCGAGGTAAATAATTAAGTATAATAAACAATATTTATATAATGAATTTGTATATTTACTCTTTAAATAATCATTTTTTAGGACTGAAAGGTTTAGAACATGTTTTTCATCGGCCTATGAAGGAACTACAAATATTACCACAAGACCAACTTCAATTATTATTTGCAAACCTTGAACAAATGTTTGAACTACACTCACAGTTTTGTAATGCAATGAAAGCTGTGAGGAAAGACAATCAAGTTGTTCAAAACATTGGACATGTTTTACTTAATACTGTATGTGTTAATTTATAAATAATTATAGATTTATATATTTTATTATCTAACTTTTAAGTGTATCACATATTAAATTATAATAGTGTAAAAAGTTAAAATTATTTATAATAAAAAAATGATATAGCTTTAATAATTTATGTTGCATAGTTTGATGGAACTGCTGGAGAAGTATTTCAAAAAGCTGCTGCAACTTTTTGCGCTCGACAACAAATTGCTTTGGAATCTCTAAAAGAGAGACGAAAAAAAGATGCAAAATTAAATAATTTTCTGACTGAAGCTGAGGGTAATCCTATATGCAAGCGCTTACAACTGAAAGATATTTTGCCAACAGGCATGATAAGGTAATACAACTATAAATAACTTAATCAGTGTTGCAATTAATATTTTTTTTTTCTAGATTAACTAAATATCCATTATTATTTGAAAGTTTGGTAAAATGTACTACTAATGAAGAAGAATTATTAAATATTAAAAGGGCATCAGAAAGGAGTAAAATTATTTTAAACCATGTAAATCAAGCAGTACGCGAGGCTGAAGATGAACTTAGACTTTCTGGAATTCAGAAAAAATTAGATGCTACTCCATTTGAGAAAGTGGATCATCTACTGAGCGTTGAGTACAAGGTAAAATAATTTTTTTTTCGTAGATTTATAGTTTTATTTTTTATTTAAATATTTGTTATGTTTTATTTTTCTTAGAATTTAGATGTAACAAAACATAAATTGATTCATGAAGGTGGTCTGTGGCTGAGAATTGGAGGCACTCGTCAAAAAATGATTGAATTACATGTTTTGCTGTTAGAAGATTTAATTATTTTGTTGAATAAAGTAGATGATAAATATGTTTTAAAATATTATGGATTCCAAGATCGTACTCCTACCTTGAGTCCAATTATTAAGATGTCTACAGCTTTAGTCAGACATAATGCTGTTGGTATGGATCAAGAATTATTTATTTTTTAATTAATATATATGTTAATTAATCATAATAATAATTTTTAGATAAAAAAGCAATGTTCTTGGTAAATACATCTCAAGCTGGTGCTCAAATATATGATTTAGTCACCACTTCATCAAATGAACGAAAAACGTTAGTTCTACATTTTCTTATTAATTTATATTTATTTTATATTCAATTTGTTTATAATAGATGGTTCCGTCATATTTCTGAAGCCACTGAAGCATATAAAGCTCGTGAAGGTAAAATAAAAAAACAAGAACAAACCTCTCATCATGTTATTGATTATGAAGACATAATACAGGGTACTAAAAAAAAGTCGTAAGTAACATTAAGTTGCTTTTTCTGCATAATTTTTATGATGTAGTGTTTATAACAAGGTTTTTTTTTTTCGTTTCAGGGTAAATGATAATTGTACAGAACAACCTAACAATAACAATAATTTAAACAGTTCACAGTTATCAACTTCATTAGATTCTAATACTTGTGATACATCTAAACGTGGTAACAATTATTTTTAAAATATGTTTTTTTTTACAAATGCTTATAATTTTGCATATTAAAAGAAGGAAAATATTTTGCACATATTTAAAAAAAATATTAAGTTATTTTTTTACTAAGCATTATGTTTGTATAAAATTTAGATTCTAGATATTTTTCTTAAAATGTAAAATTATTAATTTAAAAGTCTTTATAATATGTTTTTGTATACGTATTTATAATTTTTATTTTTATGATTTCTTACTCCTATCTTATTATGTATGATGTATTTACTGATTGACTGATTTATTAAGTATTTATATTTTTATTTACTGCAGAATATTTTCCAAATAATTTTATATTCTAATTTATAATAAATTATTATTATTATTATTGTTATTATTATTTATAATTTATATTAATTATATTATTTATAATAATTTATTTTATGCGTCTTCTGTATATTTTTACATACGTTTTTACATTTTTTTTCTTTTAAATACATTTAAAAATATACATGTTAGTGGTTAATAAAATTTAATTATTCGTGTCTTGGAGCATTTATTATTTTTAACATATATATATAGTTTTCAGCCAAAATTTTTTTATTTTTTGTATTAGGTAATGACATTTTAGGAAATACTGAAGCACAGGCAGTTACTAGCAGCACTCCCGTGCTGTCTAAAACTCAAAAAAGTCCATTAATTGAGCCATCAGAAGTGTTAGTGTCTCAAAGTTCTGTATTGAAAGCAGAACCAGTTATTACACACCTTGGTATATTATTATTTTAAATTAGGTTATTGTATACTTTCTAGAACCTTAAATTATTATATCATTCACAGAAAAATTACGAAGAAATAATAGAATAATTGAAGAAGCATTACATGAACGTTTGCAATTAGTTGCTGATATATTAAAAGTGCCTTTATCCAACTCCAGTAACACATCTGATAGTCAAGGTAAAGATATTTCTGATGAGCCAAATAAAATTTTACTTTCAGCAGTGACTCAAGGTAAATTAATAATTTACATTTTATATTGTTTAAACATGAGTTTTTTTTTTTTTTTTTAGGAAACGAAGTCATCACAGTATTAAATGAATCTCTGAGTTTGACAGATGTTGATACTATTGCTGCTAGTTTAGGCACATCAAATTTGACATCTAATTGTAGTTTATATAAAGCCTATGCTACACAACTGTCGAAAATCACTAAAGTCAAACCTATTGTTGCTTCTTTGAATTCTCAAATTACAGAACTTTTGGTGAGGAACTATCTATAATTAATTTAAGTTCATGAAACAAATAGTATTTAATAAGATTCATATTATTAGAGATTATAACCTATTAATTTTAATCATTAAATTGCAAATAAACATTTTATAATTATTAATTTGAAGCTAATGCATTTTTTCATTCAATTTTTATTTTAAGCACTTGTCTTAATAAACTACATATCTATACTTTTAACTGTAAGTCGTAAAAACACATTACGTTTATATTTAAATACTAATACAATACAATACTAATATAGTAAAGTGTTCCTTTTAATCAATTATATTAGAGTACAATGAATTAATTGGTCGTTATTTTAAAAATATAATTTTCAACTTAATTATAAAACAACAAAATTATAAACTACTAATTTCAGTCACTGATGAAATTATTATAGATATCAAATACAAAGCATGGTAAATTGGAAGAAGAACTGCGCAAGCAACTTCAAACCTATCGAGAAAGACTGCATGCATTTCAAGAAAAGTCATTAGGCTCATCCAATGCAGAAAATGGTAATTCAATTTTTATTAAAACAATATCAATAATTTTTGATTTATTAAAACTATTTACTTTTTATTTTGTTAAAGAAACTGTCGATAATGCTTCTACTATCAATAATTCAGACAAAAATGGCTCGTCGTTAGAGGTATCTATCATAAATCATAAACGATCATAAAACTTTTTACAAAAATGACTGCATTCGTTTTTTAAAATAATGAATTATTTATTTTTTACAGTTATGAGTGTAGTTATTATTTATTAATCAATACATAACATACACACTTAACCAACATATGCCATATCATGCCACTAAGTTTTCACCATGTCAGTAATAGCAGCCTAACGCTTAAAAATTGTATCAATGTTTATTTTACTTCTATGAGTTTAATTTATATATATATATATATATTTTTAGTTGTTAATTTTAAAAAATAGTTTTTCATTAAAATAACTAACAAATTATTGTTTTAATTTTTCAACATTATTTTACGTCCTGTTTTATTTAATTTTTTTTTAAGACTGTGTATAATAATTTATACGATTATTTTCATACATATAATTTTACATTTTAACATAGGATAGTTTCAATATCTGTTTGATATTACTATTTTTATTATTTATTTATTACAATCTTTTTTTTTTTTTTTTTTTTATTGCTGTTTAAAATTCAATATAAGTGTTAATATCTTTGATTATATGTTTTTATTACTACTTAATTTGAATATATGTGTTTTTAGTATTAAGAGTTAAGTGTTCATGAAAAATGATACACATACATTGTTAATATGTTAAATTAATTTAAAACAAATTTTAAATTGTCAGCTTTATTTATTAGTTAAGCAAAACTTGCTTTTTGTATAATTTTACACCTATTCAATGTTTGAACTTAAAAAAAGAATTATTTTTAAAAAAAATACATAAACTAATTTAATAGCACTGTTAAATTGTTTGTCTTAATCAATGTGACTTATGATTTTTGGACTAAGTTCTGAAAATTATAAATTTTGAATTCATGACAAAAATAAAAAATAGACCACTTTATACAAAAGAAAATTGATTTTATTATTTATTACTTAAGAATTATTCAGGATTAATTAAAGTTATTCTCATTAAGATGGCTTCAGAATTTGTACAACTAAAATATAGGAACTAAGAATTTGGCAACCATGATCAAAATGTTTAGAAAATTGGTTCTAATAATACTAACGAAATTGATAGTTTTCAATTATAATTGTTATAATATATATATTATATTTGATATTAAATAATTTTAATTATATTTAAAAATTAATATTTCTATTGATTTAAGTTTAAATATTTCAATAAGGGAAACTGAAATTACTATTACATATAACTATTTCAAAGAATATAATTTTAAGAATTAGAAAACAATGTTCTTGATTTACAATTTTATAGTAATAAAAATAAAAATTTATTTATACAATACAAGTTAAATATGGCACAATCACATTTGTAATTTAAATAAATAAATATTTAGAATTTCCTGTTCCTAAAAATTGGAATTCAAATAGATGCTTGATTATATATTAAAATATATTATAAAAGATTCAATGTTTTAAGTACATTTTAATACATTTAATATATTAATATTTATTAACTTTCTTATCTATAAATTATAGATACACCTTTTGATTCAACTATAATTGTAAACTCTTTTAGTTATTACTAGGGAACGGATTTATATGTAAATGCATATTTTTATTAAAACGAGGTATTTAAGATTCGATAAGAAATGTTTATGATTTAAATCATTCCTATTAAAATTATGATACTTTTATTTTACATAGTTTTACATATTTTGGTATAATTACATATTTTCACATATTTCACTAATTTTTAAATATTTTTAAACATATTTTTATCATTTCATCATTCATGCATCTTCTTCGTATGAAAATACAAAAAATTATTTAAAAATTATATCCAGAAACTTTTATCTCTATTGGCAAAGCTCAAAATATTATGCAAAATGAAACATTGAAAATAATTTAATTTTAATTAAAAATAATTTAACAAAATTATTAATAAAAAATATTTCACCAAATGATAGTATGCAAATTGTTGAATCAGCGATTAAAACTCGTAAGCGGACCAATAGATGTCGTAAGAAAGAAAATTCATGCTGTTACAGAAAAAAATTCCAGGCAATATTGATTTTAAAACAATCAATGACATAATGAATGGCAGACAACCTTTTACAAATTTGGAATTATCGCCTTCTGATAGTATGCACTTGAAATATGCTTTTAATACATCGGTTGATGTGAAACGATAATTTAGCCGCTTTAAAAGTATTTTGATACCTAATAGGAGACATTTAACATTTGATAATTTACAAGATATTGTAATAATTCAATGCAACAAATCTTTTTGATAATTTAATAATAATAATCACTTTTTTTTTAATTTTTTTTTCCCCACATATTTGGATGTTTTTAGCACATATTTTATAAATTATACTTACATATATATGTACATATTTCTGTATTTTTATTACATATAAATCCGTTCCCTAGTTATTACATATTCATTATTCCTATGGAAGCTTTATTATAATTAATAACTAAACTCGTGGTTAACCCACCTAGTAAGATTATTATATTTCAAAGAAAAATGTATTTATATATATATATATATATAATATATTTATTTATTTAAAATAAAAAAGTAACAAATAAATACTTGTGTGTATAAATTTAAGTCTGTAATATTACTTTTTTAAATAATTAATAAATATAAATTACTTAACCATTTTACAAGTACTTAGTATATTAGTAATTAATATTTTATAATATTAGTACTTAGTACTAGGTATTTAATTTATTTTTTTATTTTATTAATCATATTATTCATATTTCATACGAGTATATTATGAATTCTGATGTTCATATTCTAGTCGTATTGATTGATGATAAGTAATAAATTACTGTTAAAGAAAAGTATAAACATATATATATATATATATTATAGCATAAAGCCTATATATTATTATATAATCTCAAATATTAACTTAAAAACTTGACACATCGTTTTTTTCGTCCGAGACCTTATTTTTAATTAAATCCTTTTTTTGAATTATATCAAAAAAAAATATTTTTTTACTTCTAATATTCTATTTCCTGATAAAAGTATATTATTTAGTTTTGTACTTTATTTTGCATTAATAAAATGTAATTAATACATATATTGGCTAATAGATATATTTGTATAGAAAATAGTTCAATGCTTTATTTAATGAATTTTCCTAAAAAAAAAAAGTTTAGAGTCTTATGTAGCCATTTTGGTAGTTTATTGATTTAATAATAAATAATAATTAATATTTAATATTACTTTTATTGTTCAGTTGCATGGAAAAACATAACTTAGTTGTATACAACAAAACAGTTTTGTAAATTGTTTTATGGTTATTATAACCAAAATATACTTGTCATAACCATAAATATTGTGATCTTTAAAGAAGTGTAGTGGAGTTTTCACAAAAACTATTTTGTAAACAACTGTTTTGTAAATTTAACATGCTTCATATTTATAATAGCAAATGTACTGTAACAGATACTAAGTTAAAAAAAAATATCAAATATTTAAGTAATCATGAAAAAATCATCCTTGTATTTTCTACCAAATCATCATTAAATGTAATGCAAACATTTTGCTATAATTACTAAGTATAAATGACATTGAATACGGTTTATATATTTTATATTAACTGGATTTTATTCTAATATTATCAAACCGTTTGGTAAATGGTACTAATGTTAGATAATATAACCGGTCGTTTGGTAAAACCTATCCAACAGTTCCATTAATATCACAATTTTATTGTCATCGCTGCAACTCGATCTATAATCTCGCGGCGGCATCGTGGCGACTTGCACACTATGCATTAAGTATTCTTTACTCAACTGTAAATTGTAATCTGTAATACTACTTAGACCACAACTTACTATCATATTTTATTATTTTCTAATGTTTGCACTTACAACTGTTTCTGTTATTATTGTAAGAATGGCCGATTCTGATGTTAAAGACATATTTTCAGCTTGGGGTTGAAAAACCCATTGATGTATTAAAAAGGTAAGACATTTTATATACTTCATAGTAAATATAATATGTAGCTGGATCATAAATAATAACATATACATAATAATCATATATAATAATATATAATAATAACATAAATAATATCTATTTGGATAATAGCCATTGAGTATCTACCTATAAATATTATATTGTACATAATGTATATAGACTTAATCTATAAAACTCATTTACATTTCATATATTTATAAGCTGCATTGTGTTAAATCGAGCTGAGGGGGAGGTATTTCGTATGAAAACAGTCCGGGACAAATATTAGAGCTGGTGGTATGTGAAATTCACTCACCGGTAGTCGGTATGCGTTTACATACCGGTTTCTATCGGTATACCGGTATGGTAAATACCGTCTCTCAGATAAATACCGTCTCTTCGGTAAATACCGTATACATTCGGTAAATACTACGTGTATTTTATAGATCATATAAATACCGTATATTATCGCCGTGTTCCGTGTAGTCTCAAACTTCGTTAATACGTTGAAGCGCCTTTACACTTCATTGTGTTGTGTCGTGTTGTTTTGTGTAGACTATAGGTATATTAAATTCATGGGACATTATTTAGAATAGGTATCAAAATATTAGTAACACGTTACCTATAAGTTGAATATATCTAAATTCAAACGACAAGGTCAAGTGTGCCTAAAGGCTAAAAGCTCCTTTACCGAACACGGTGGTAGTAGAAACTGGAAAGTACACATTTTTAATGTGAATCGGAACAAAAAAAAATTTAATTATAAATATAACTCTGACACACAAGGTTTACACGAATATGAGAGTAAGACAAAATGCATAGACAAATATTTAAAAGATATTCAACTGAAATAAAAATTACTTGTTTGATAATAAACTTTATTAATTAGGTACAAGAATTATAAGATATTATAATATCACAGTTATTATAACTAATAATGAATAATGTTATACATAGTAATGAGTGATAAATTGTTAAAATAATTATATTACTTATAATAGGTAATGTATATACTAAAATATATATTTAAAAATGTGTTCCTTTTACAATAAAATAACAAAGGTATACTCGTTTATACTTTTTATAAGTATACACTGTTTTATATCATAATCATAAAAATTGTCATTTTGATGATTTTAACAAATTCAAAATAATATAATAAATAATAATAGTAGTACTATTTGTTTAACATAAATGTGTTACTTTACACAACAAAGTTAATATAATTAAATTAAAGTTTACCAAAATACTAAAAATAAAAATCATACTAGTTAACTATCAACTATCATATGAGAATTTTTTGATAAAAATATTAGTTGTTCAGCATGTTCCGCTGACAATGATGTACGTTTATCAGTAATTACGTTACCTCCATAATTGAACAATCTTTCACAAGGTACGCTAGTGCCTTGTATACATAAATATTTTCTTGATAATAAAGATAAATTCGGAAACTCTGATTTATATATTTTCCACCAAGCAAGAGAGTCTGAATCTAGGTCTGCTTTGGGAATTTGAATATATTTTTCGATTTCCGCCTCAAAAATATTTTGGTCATTTAATGTTGATTCAGAAGGTACATTTTTGCTTAAAAATAAAGCTATGCCTATAAATTGTGCAAAATGTTTCATTATAGTTATGTGTAAAATAAATTTTTTTTTTAAATATTATAAACTTACCAGAATAACGTTTTTTTTTCGATGAAAGCGATTTATTTTTATTTATTTCTCCTGATTGATCTCCAGATTTTTTCAACTCTTCTATTAGTAATTGTTTTATAATACTTAAATCACAATCATTCAAACAATACGCTTTATATCTGGGATCTAAAAACGATGCTAATTGTATCAATTGTTTTGTTTTAAAGTCTTCAAAGTAGCGTTTAGATAATTTTTCAAATATAGTATCTGTTATTAAGAGTTCTACGTGATTGAGTGCTTGCGATAGTTCTATATTTAAAGTTTCATCTGTATCACCATCTTCTTCGGTATCATAATTTATTTGAGAAAAAAAAGTAGAAGATTCTTCTAGCAATATATTTTTATCAAAATGAATGTCTTCAGTGTTGTCAAACAGTTGAACACTATCCGTTTCTAAATTAACACTTTGTATGGAATTATGTATTATATTTTCTGTTTTATTTAAATTTAATTTTAGTTGCTCATATACTGGCCATAATCCTGAAATGGTAACCTTAGTTTCTGATGCTAAAGCTTCACCCAACTGTTTTAAAGGATCCATTATATGTAATATACGTTCAATTAACTTCAACTGGTTAAAAGTGGGTAACATTTGTTGGTGTTTAGTGCATATTAAAATTTTTTTCAACGCTTCATTCTGTGTATATAAAAAGTTTAAACATGGAAGTAGTGACCACCAACGAGTGTCAGACGAAGACGGTGGAACTAGAGGAGGAAGATCTAAATTTGTCTGTTCATTTAATAATGCACGTTTCATTTTGGAACTGTAGTGGAAAACAGATCTTACTTTTACTGCATTTTCAGTACAATATTTAACAGGTTGTAAGGAAAATGCATTTGTAACACCAGTATTTAAAACATGTCCAAAGCAAGAAACATGGTTAAATGACATTAGTTCAACAGCCTTTAAAATATTTGATCCACAATCTGTGGTGATGCCTGCGATCTTAGATTCGTCAATATCCCAGTCATGTAATATTTGCTTGATACTATTTTTAATATTAAAACTATTATGGTCGATAGTCAAAGAAGTGCATGCCAAACAAAAACTTTTGAATTCCCATTCCTCATTTATAATATGGGCTGTTAATCCAATAAATGGATGACCATTTCCTGATGTCCAACAATCAGTTGTGAGGGCAAGATACGATACACCTTTTAATTTTTCCTTAATGCAATTTTTTACGTCTTCGTATGATTGAGGAATTTTATAGTCAGAATAATATTTTCGGCTAGGAGGTTCAAAACTAGGACAGAGGACGGAAAGTAAATGTTTAAATCCTTTTTTTTCTACCGAATTATACGGTTGCATGTCTGCACACATCCAAACGGCAATGGCATGCTTATATTTTTCAATTGTTTTTTTTATCAAGTGGGTGATATACTTTTAGTTTACTTTGTTTAAAAATGCCTAAATAAAAAAAATAAATGTTTTATATTAGGTAACTGTGCAATAATTTCTTAAGATTTTAAAATTCAAATGAACGACAGTTATTTAACATAAGATTATAACGATAAAAATAAAAAATAAATTAAATTAAATTGTTTTTAAAAGATATTAAATATGCACTTTTCTCCTAAAATTGACCGAATATGCAAAATATGAATTTTAAATTAAACATTTTTAAACTCATCCTTGTACCTATATCTCGAATTTCTAGTTTGATCTGCTATGAATCGAGAGTAGAATTTAGAACGATATGCACAACTTCCTAGCCCTACTTATTACATACACTTAGATAACAATAATTTTGGCTAGTTACGAATTTACAACTGAATGTATAGATAATGATACCTTTAGAGATTGATGCCTGACTGCCCTGACTATCCGACGCCAAATTGCTTTGAAGATTACTTAAAACAGGATCATCAATATTGTACTCTTGCGCTTCTTCAGATGTAGTAATTGTACTATTTCTTTAAAAATGATTCAAATAATACATTTAAGATATTATTAGTTTTATGAAAGATTGATATATTAAGTATTTATGTATGTAAGCTCAGTGCTTACCCATCAATTTTCAAATATTCTGAATACAAATTTGGATGTTTGTAACGCAGATGTGATTTTAAATTGCTTGTGTTACCGCCTTTGCTATTTTTTTTTCGCTGCATTTTTTACAAAGCCCTTCATTTGGGTGTTTTTCAAAATATAACCAAATTTTTGATTTTGTTTTCATAATTATTTTTTATCTAAATTTAAGGAAAAATATATTAAATACCTAATTGTCTATTGTCCTTATTACTAAAATCACAGTAAAATTAATATAATAATGATATTTAATAATTACTAATAATTAGTAATAGAAGAGAAATTTTATTTTTTCTCAATGATTTTTATTTTTTTTTAATGCTTGACAATTTATTAGCGTAGAGCGATAAAATATAGAAAATTTTGTAAATATGTAACGGTATATAAAATACACAATTTTGATACTGTCCTATAACTCAAAAAATATCGATTTGCTCCAATTTTTTTTTGATGTCATCATTTTTAAATCATTGAAATTGATGATTTTCAAAAAAAAGCTGGCCCAATAAAGTTTAAAAGTTCCTATCATTATTAAATTATTAGTTTCTTAACGGTTAAAAATATACATTTGAAATATATATAACAAATTGAATAGATATATTTTAAAAATTAATACATTCTCTGCAAATTACTAACAAAATAAATGATGAACGACAAATTGATAATAATCATTATATAATTAACTAGTTTTAAATTAAATACCATGATTAAATATTGAATAAAATAAAAATGCATATTTAAATATTATTAGGTATAAATAATGTATTTGAATTATTACTTACCTATGTAAAAGTGAACAGTAAAATAACAATTTATTTAATCTTGTGTAATGACTAGACAAGAAACACAACAAGAAAATAATGATGTTGACATATTGATGTTTTGTATTTATGATGTGCGTCAGTGTATAACCGCCGTCATTTAACTACGATTCCGCGCACTGTAATACGAGCTGGAATAGTGAAATATTGATGTGATTTACTAATAATCGGTATTACGGTTGGAATATATTGCTGGTTTATCACGTGTCCATGTCCTATTACCAACTACCAAGTAATAATAATTTTGTCGTAGATTAAATACTAATGGGTATCAAAATAGATATGTAATAAACGATATGTAAAAATATGAACGTAGGGTGTACCATAGTCTGCAAACATAAATATTAAATATACACTTATTGTTAGTATACATCCGAGTAAGATACACCCTGTATATTTGACATAATATAAGAATAAGAATAATTACACAACACATGTTAGATAAGAATAAACTAATACAACGAAAATATTATCGGAAATACTAAAATAGCACGACCACGTCGCCGCACCGAAAAATACCGGTATACCAGAATATTGAAATACCGGTAGTTCCAAATACCGGTATTTCCCAATACTGGTGACTCACCGGTATACCGTAAATACCGCCAGCTCTAACAAATATCGCACTCATTAGAAATATTAATCTTTTTATTTTTTCCTTTTTGGCTGAGCATGCGCCGCTTACCTAGCTTGTCCTGACCGCACGCCACTGATTTATTAAATTCCTTCAAAAAACATTTAGCCACTTATATACCGTTTGAAATTTCTACTCTAATTCAGCTAAATGATTCAATCCATATCATTATAAATAGTTTACCTTAAAGCAATGTAATACAGACACATTTTCTATAACAGGTAGGTACCTAGTTTAGCAACATCTTCATCTTTACCCAGTATAAATATTAATAGTAACGTGGCTAAAAATAACATTGTAGAAAAATGTATAGCCTCCTTTTATGCAACCCACAAGTTCCTCGGAATATTGTTCAAAAAATTATTGAATTATGTCCGTTAATTGTTGAAAATATAAAAAATGGTCTGATCCGGTTTGCTCAACATGTTACTCGTAAACAACACATAAGCTCAGGGTCAGCAAGAACTTTTGAGGACCCCGGGACTGATCGGTTCCAAGCCAGGGCCGAACTAAGTCAAAAATTTCTTCCGAAAAAATAAAAAACAGCCCACTATATCAAAGGTCAGTGGCGTAAACTGGGTGGTGTAAATGTGGTGGTACAAAGATATGTTTTTGCACCACTAGAAAATCATTGAAATTTGTATACCTATAATATTATTTTCAAGAACCAAGGAAATCAGCATATCTATTAAAAAAAAAATGTTGATTGTTTTTTTATTGATATTATATTAATAAAGATTTTATGCTAAAATAATTCAAAATTGATTTGTTATTTAAATAAATATATAGTTTATTGGGAAGGATTTTACTTAGGAAATTGTAAAATTAGTGTTGAAAATTATAAGTGGAACATATGTCTCTGCACCACCAGAAATTGGATCCAATTTATGCCACTACCAAAGTATAAAAACAACTCTAAAAAGAAATTATTGTATTTTCATATAAAATTATTGTATATTATTTTGAAAATTTGAACACTTAATATTATTATTAAAAATGAAAAGACCGTTTATTTAATTTTAGACAGTTTCTAATGCAAGCGCATTAGAAAATGCGTTTATGTCTGTCGGCACAATGAGCCTGAACTGATAAACCTAAAATATAAAAACTTCCTAACGAGTAAAAGTGTCCTAATTCAAACAAGTGACCCACCAGTACTAACTCCAGGTATCCCGCCTGCCCAGTCCGGTCTTGTTCCAAGCCCCCTTTACTTGTTTGGCCAAGATATACATACTACATGTACGTAATTGAGTACAACAAAAGTATTTAAATTTGCATCTTATGTTACGGTGAATAAGATTATAAAATAATTTTGCATTAAAGACTGATAAGAGTCCTCTTTATGTATTTTATATAATATTATATTAATATTATATTTATCAAATATTATTCATTATTATTTATAACGTCGGGATTTCAATTCAAAATGCATCTTTTTTTGGATGACTTTATACAATGCTTTCCAAATATACAATTTTCTATAGGTACGTGCAGTGGTGTAGAAAGATTAGCTAGCAGCCCTGGCAAACTTAGAAAAAAATCTTTATCTTTAATTTTACTAATTTTTTTTTAGTATAGGTTCAATTTATATTTATAAGTTATTATTACGGTGTTAATTTTAATTTTTGAAAAATTTCTTTTCTCGCTTTATAACTTTTTGACTTTATTCCTTCATATGAACATTTTTATTTAAATGCCCTTGTGCTGTTTTCATAATTTCATCATTAAATTCACACGTAGTGTATACAAATAGACAGCATCTACATATTTTAAAAAGTATAACGGAAAAATGTCGATCTATTTGTAGGAAAAAAATATGAATTGCACAATTTTGTGCCCCCTTGCAATTCGCGCCCCTACCGTAAGCACATTTCACCATACCCTTGCTACGCCACTGGGTACGTCAAAAAACTGAATCTTTTATTTTTCATTTTTCAATTTTACTCATTTTAAGAGCATTTTTTGGTATTTTTCAGTCATTTTATTTGTTTTAGTGTATACTTTTACTATATACAAGTATATTATATAGTATTTTTACATATTACGAATTTCAAATTTAAAGAAAAGTTTTTTAAAAGCACCATCTAAAGTTTGGCAGTTAAAATGTATGGGCCTAACTATTTCTTTACCAACTCAACCAATACTGACACGTTGAAAACTCGGACTAAAGTTGCAGTATACTGCTGTGAATATTTTCAATTTATTAAAACAGTTATCAATGGATTTGAAGAAAATAATGCCATAGCTATCAAAAAAGCGAAACATTTAATGAAATGTAATCAAATTTAATATTAATAAAAGCTATCCATGTAAATATACCAAGTTGTATAACTTCTAAAGTTATACCTTTAGCTGAGATAATTGGAGTCGTAAATGATGCCAAAACTTGTATTTCAAATAATACAAGTAATTATGAAAAAGTAATAAAGAAAAAATTGGAAAATATGTTAGAATATAATTGTGGTTATACTGTAATGGATACAATTTCAAACATTTTCGAAGGCAAATAAACTTCTCTAACAAGCATATCAAAATAATTAACATCGGATGACGTTTGCCAATTCAAATATACTCTTCAGTCGCTACCATCGTCGCCAGTCACAAGTCAATATTTTCAATTTTTAGTTTAATAAAATTATGAATAATCCAATAATTTATTAATATTTATTAGTCCAATAAAAGAATAAATACAAAAAAAAATGTATTTGTCATTTTTTAAATGCATTTTTGGCTGTTTTTTTAGTGCGTATTTGTATAATTTTCAATGCATAAAACCTAATCTAACCTGACCCGAGTACTATTCATAACGAATTAAAACGAACGGTTGGAAATGAAATGCGTCTACTTGTACATGCAATAGCGCGCGATCAGGGATGATTTTTGATGTCGAAAATCATTGTTCCGAAACGTTAACCGTCACTGATATCGAAAACTGGCCGTTAACCAGGTGCCAAGACGCCCCCGTGATTCACGGTGCGGTAAAAGTGATCGCGGCGGAAAATTATAATTCGCGGGACGCTTTATTACGCGATTCGACGTGGTCGTAAAACACTGAAAACGTAATTATTACGTTAGCGGACGCGTGCACGCACGCGCGTACACGTACAACGTCTCCTAAATCAAACGGCGGGACGGCGGGTCCACACGGAAAAGCCCGACACGACAGCGCGCGAGAACGGTGCAATCGCGTACGCGCGTAGTGTACGTTTTCGCGCACCTCCCGCCCGCAGCACCGCCGTCGGTCAGCGCCGTCAAGCTCAGCGCGCGGCCCCCGTGCTCGACGCCGGTGCCACGCGAGCACGACAGAAGCGCACGGCACGCCGACCACGATGATCGCCGGCCACCGTAACAGCTGCACCGTGTCGCGGGCCATCGCTCACGCCGGATGAACCCCACCGGGTGCGTGACCGCGTTGGGTGACGGCGGCGAAGCGTTCGTCGTGCTTCTGTCCGACAACGACGAAGACGACCGCCGCCGCCGCAGCCATCGCCACCACCAACACCACCGCGAGCCGGACCACACGTCGTTGCCGCCATTACCGCCACCTCCGCTGACCACCGCCGACCCGTACAAGTCGAGGCCGCGCCGCAAGGACCGAGGCGCGTTCGTGGTGCTGCCCGAGCCACCGGTGGTCGCCCCGTCGTCGTCGTCGCAACCGGTCGGCTGTAGCGGCCGCGTCAGCCCGTTCCGCGGACACGGGTTCAGGACGCCCGAGAACGGACGGTCCCGCGCGTCCAGCCCGTCGTCCGAGCCGCTCAAGAGACAGTCGTCGGAACCACGGATCGCTACCGGTGGCCGGCGGCCCGCCGCGGCCAAGCAACGTTTGTCCGTGTCCACGAAGGATTTGTCGGCGGCCGGCAAGCCTCCGTCCGTACCGTCCGTCAGGTCTTCGCCGCGCAGGAAACCCGGCCGGTCCGGACCGCCGACCCCGCGGAAGCCATCGCCAGCATCGCCGGTACCTCAGAGATCGCCCAAAACGCCGAGACGGTCGCAGCCACGCGTGGCGGCCAAGCCGGCCGTCGCGGCCAAGCCGGCCGTCGTGGCCAAGCCAGTCGTTTCCACCAAACCAGCCGTCGCCAGCAGAACGGGTGCCGCAGCTGCCAACCGACCGCAGCCCGCGGTCAGATCTTCCCCCCGGATGTCCAAGAAAAACCCGTCGGTGGCCACCACCGTTGCGTCCAATAAATCGGACAACGCGACCGCGCCGAAAACCGCGGCCAACGCGCAAGGCGATTTACGCGTGACGGCAGCGGCTATGACAGCGGCTGCGGCAGCGTCGGTGGTCACGACGACGGCGGCACAGCCGTCGCCTTCCTCGTACACGCCGTCCGCGACCGTCTCGTCGGTCACCGCGGACACGGCAATCGCGTCGGTCGCGCCGACGTCAACGGCCACCGTCATGCCGGTCACTGCGTCCACCTCGGCGACGGCCATCGCGACCACGCACGCGGCCAACGCCATCGCCTCGGCTGTTGTCGACGGCGGTCCGATCGTGACAGCCGTACCGCCGCCCGCTGCCATAGCCGCCAACACGTTGGCCACTCTGTCCGTCGCCGGTCCTGCTGCGGCGGCCGCTACGAAACCGCTGCCGAGCGCGACGCGATCCCGCGAACAACCACCGGCCGCCATCGCTCACTCTCCGAAACGAAACGGATCCACTGTGGTCGTCGTGGACCGCGGGCCCGCGGCGGAACCAGTGGCCGCGCAGCGATCGGCCGAAAAAATCACGACAACGACACCACCGCTTTCGTACGAGCTACAGGAGATCGTGGTGGAACCGGAGACGGAGAACCAAAGCGGGAGAACGGCCGCCGCCGCTGCCCGACTGTCCATCGGCCAGGAACGCACGGACGGTAACAACGTATCGGCAACCACGACCAGCAGCAACGGCCACAAGACGGTCGCGTGGGCAAGGTAAAAATAGATTATTAGATTGATTCGGCGGCGTTCACCGTTGTCGCGCAATAACGTCCGCGTCGTTCGCGTATGGTTTTATTTTTTATGTTTTTACATTTAATGGCTCAAATCGCGTGATCCAAGTCAGTTTTATGACGTACGCTGTAACGGCACCATTCGTCGGTCCAAACTTGTCATACTAGGAGTAAGTACGACAACATGTACTTCAAAATCGCGGTACGAACACCTATTACCCATATTATACTGTTGGGGTTTTACGAATGTGAAGTACACCGTAAATATTATTGCGTATAGAACACGTGTTATTAAAAGTTTTGTTTTCTAAATAACGGATGATAACATTTGCTATATACTTCACACATAATATATTGATACTTTGGGTGTGTCAAAGTTTATTTTCCGCAAAAATAAAATATTACAAACACTAACTACTTGTATAAAATAATCATTTTTTTTTTTTTTTTATGTTGTACTCGTATAATTTCATTATTTTTCCATTGTTCATTTTTTCGTATACATACGAGTACGATTCAATGGACATTTATTAAGGTACCTACTACATTATTTATGGCTACACAAAAATTATGAAATACTGATTAATATTTTATTTATACTCAAAGACTTGAAATAACTTGGAAATAATATAATCTATAATTACACGTTTTATGTACTTAATACTGGATTTTTTTTTTACAAATACTATTTCTGATCTCTGACAACCAAAAAGAACTTTAGTAAAGCTTGTTGACTTCGTAGACATTTTGTTTTCAAAATTGTGGATAATCGTTAAAATTATCCTGGGCTTTGAGGATAATCACTATGCTTTTCGAAGAATTTTCCGCGCACGCAACTGCAGATAGAAAATTGTGTGTATTCAGAAACGTTTTTGCCCGAGTAAAATGTACGCATTTTCATGCACACTCGTCAAAAATCGTTCTCGAACGTTTAATGTGTCTCTTGTTGATAATTCTCTTCCAACTGGATGTGCGCGGTATAAGCATAATGCAACGCTGAATGTACACAACACCATAATGTTCGTAAACACGAGTACGTGCGTTTGGTCGAACGAAGGGATATCATATAGGTATAAGTTAAGGTAGTTATGTATAACGATGACGATGTGAACGGGAGAGGTGGGGCAACAACACAACACTTGGTGTGTCGGAAAAGAAAGAAAAAACGGCTTGCTCGCACGTTCGATATATAGCTGTGTCCGCACGGTGGTCTTACATTGTACCAAGTCACGCCACTAAGAAGTACTCAAATGTATATACATAAGTAATTAGGTCACCCCACCAAGTAATACGTTTACGAATATATACCTATATGTATATATACCTTGGCTGTGGCTGTGGCGGGTAACTCGTGTTTAAGGCCACGCCAACATGCGATCCAGTCTCTTTTCGTGCTGGCTGGCGTGACCGTAAGCACAAGTGTCCCGTGTGCGTGCCCGCTTGTATGTACCGTATGTGTGTGCGTGTATTTCTGTAAGTGTTCGTAGCAGCAGCAGTGGTTCAACCCTTCTGCTCGTTACCTAACTTAACCCTTCTGCTACACTTCCTTCCACCGTACACTGTACACCATTCCAAATATATATCGTTCTTGTACTCGAGCACCCCGTCCTTTCTTATATGCGTATGTATATTTATACATTTTTTCTTGCTAGCCGAGTACACTAATTTACTCCTCCTTCCCTCTTCTAGTATATGGTCACTAGCTACTGATTTTACACACGTATATGTATATATAATATATAGATTCACTACTAGCGCCACCGGTACCGCCACTGACCGTTGTAAGACGTGTGCGGGGGGAAAAAATAAATAAATAATCACCTAGAGCTGACCACCGCCTCAGGCGAAAAATTCACCGGCAGTAATAAAACTTTACTATTACGCGGTGAACTTTTTTCGGGTCAAATTCTCCATGTGCGTGGGTGTGTGAAGGCTAAACGAACGCTTCTATACGGTGTACGGGTGTGCATGTATGAGTATATACAATGTATACACACGCATAGACACCGTGGATACACAGCGGAAGTACGTCCGTCTTGTGCGTTTAGCGATGATGGGCCGAGAACGTCCCGATTCGACTGCGGCTAATGCTGCCGCCATGGTCGACGTCTATTCCATTGGTTTTCCGAACGTCAGGTAGTGTGTTTTGGGAGCTGCGTACAACGAACAGCAATACTAAACGATATTCAAGTTAGCCGTGCACACGCTGTGATCACATTGTATAATATTGATATGATAAGTATCACGACTATTGTTACCGAACGGTTTAATATAATACTGCGAAGAAACTGTAGACTGATTTAACACGAAAATTTATCTTACAACGGCTATAACGATTGTAATGTGTGAACAGGACATTTTTATTCAGCCGGGTAAATGATAGTGTCTATCTTCTATGAAAAGGTCATGTTGCACTGTAGTTTACATGTTGTTTGATCGGTACTCGATAAAAGATATTGTTTCTGTAGTTTTTCGAGAAAAGAAATTGAAATTTAAGGCAAATTTGTTTTGATTTAGATTACTGCAGCCCAAGAAATGTTAAGTTATAACAGATTAGATATTTTTACAAGTGACATTACTCCATAGATTTTTCCAAAAGTTAAATGAATTTCATTGAATGTGAAGTTAATAAATACACTTTAGTATGAAGTTGGTCTACATTTATTAATTCACTAATAAATTCACTATAGAGCAGGAACGTATTAAGACTTACCTCTAGAAGGGGGGGGGGGCACAATTTTTTTTCTTTAATTCAGGCTCAAAATGTACAAGTAAAATTTTTGGTAATATTTAAATCTGGCGAATCCTTTATACTTGAATTTTTTTTTTTTTAATCTAATGCCGGATCTACTTAGAATCGACTTTTGTGTAGTTCTTTTTTAACACCTGCCTATGTTTTGAAAGTTACGCTTGTGTTTTATTTGATTTTTCACTGAGTATGGACCTGATAAAAGCCCAATTCAGTATTTACAGCAATGTGTAATTTGATTTCGTTATAAAGTGATCCACATTAAAAAATTTTGAAATATGTATCTCACATGTAATCAATTCCTTAAATACGGATTCAGGAGAGGGTGATTTTTAAAAGTCGATTAAAAAGTTATTTATCGGAATTTGGTGGCGATGTATTTTCGACAGACCGTTAAGTCCTATAATTGATGTATTGTGATGTTAAAGTAGGATGTGAAAAACGATTTAATGTTACACAATATTTAAATGATTTACATTTTTTAAAAATAAATCACTTTAAAAAAATATAATAACATATTTTTAGTGCATATTATAGGGGTTTTAAATACATAAGTGCTTGCATATTTAGAATTTTTTTGGAGTTACAAGTCCTCTTTCCTAGTTATTATGAATGAAGAAAAAAACATTGAAAAAAATATAATTAATGTTCAAAAAATATTTTAAATATATATATATATATATAATAATTATATATTATATAACTATATATTATATTATATATATTATATATTTAATAGTGATGGGTCGAACTATTCGAATCTCGAACCGAACCGAACCGAACTATCAAGCATCTTTTACTTTTCGAAAATCAAACTTGAAAATTTTGTCGAACCAGACTTACTGGTCACGATAGTTCGGAAACCAAATATTTGTACAATTCTTCAAAAGTTATTTTTAAAAAATAAAAATTAATAATGATTGTTTAGAAATAATTATAATATTGGCGATAGAAAGTGATAATCTGTAAAGGGCACGTTATGCATTATTTACAATAATAATGCTATTATTATAATAATAATGTTATTTTTCCAGTCGCATGTTACACATCCATCCTCCGCCGACTGAAACATTAATAAGTTGTTTATCGCCAATAGAGGCATTGTATCTACATCCATAAATTAGCTATTTTTGTTTTTATCATATTTATTGTAGAGGTTAAAATCTATTTTGGGTAAATCCATGGTAATATTCCGATACCGCAACTGTGCTGTTAATAAAAAACATGTTTACAACTTACGTATTACATTATAAATTCTACTAATCATTCTATATTTGTAAATTATAGTTATTATTACTATTTTTTTATACATTATTAAAATGTACTGATTGTATTGTCATATTACACTTAATACTCAATACTCAATGAATATTTTATAAGCTACAAGACAACACGAGAGAGCACAATACTGGTTTTGAAAAGTAATAATAATAATAAGAAATTATCTAAAATTAAAATTTATTGTAAATAATACAATTACTTAGACTTAAATTTAAAATGTAGAATAGATAATACGAAAACTTAAAATACAATAGTAATTAATAATTATGGTTGTTTTAATTTGTAGGTAGGTACAATGTACATGATAAAAAGTATTGAGTTCGAGTTCGACTTATAAAATCATAATAAGTTCGGTTCGGTTCAGTTCGATAAAAAATATGAAGGTTCGGTTCAGTTCGAGTTCGAAAAAATAATTTAAAGTTCGGTTCAAGTTCGGTTTGATTTAAAAAATTAGGGTTTGACCCATCACTAATATTTATAAATAAAAGTTATAATTTTAAATATCTTATTACTTATATTATGGATTGCTCTTATTCGCAATCATTTGATGGAACGTAATAAACTAATACATAATATTACTTTATGAATTTATAATTACAACTTGATTATAAATAAAAATATATTTCTCTTTTATTAATATGCTAAATGTATATGAAAAATAATTTTTTGTGATATTATTTTTATTTATTCCTTACTCATCATTTACATGTGTACATGCAGTGACGTAGGAAGATTCGCTAGCATCCCAGGCTAACTTAGAAAAAAACGCCTTTTAACCAATTAACAATTTGATTTGATGATATTTTTGTTAACCTTTAATTTTACTCATATAATTTTTAAGTATACAATTTATCAATTATTATCACAGTGTACACTTTGAAAATTTGCTGTTCTCGCTTTAAGGCTGATTTAAGGCGTATTCATCGATAATTTCTTCAATAAATGTACAATTCGACACAAAATCTACATATTTCAAAAAGCATAATGGAAAATATTCGTTTTCAAAAATCGTTTTCTAAAATAAAATTATGAATTTTGAACGATTTTGCGCCCCTTTTGTAAGTACAGTTCACCATGCCCTTGCTACGCCACTGTTTACATATGTCATTTGAGATTTTATGTTGTTACATAACCATATTCATTTACTCCATCTGTTTTTGCTAATAGGTCGGTCAAATGTTAACTGTCGTCAGCCAAGTCAACATATTATAGTCATTGGACGGAGACCAATTACAATGTAACATTCACTTATAACTCACAACGTATTATCACCAAAGCTACATACTAACCTAAGTGTCATCAAAATAATTTTCCTATTTTAATATTTATCACTTTCTACGTTTTTTATTTTACTATCTTAAGCCCAACAATTAGCTTATACATGTATAAATAAATAAATTATAAAAATATTTCTAACAAATCAAACAATTTGATATTGTTCTTCTAATAATCAAAATGTTTGAACTAAAATTTTATACTTCGATTTTCCATGCTATGAAAAAAACAATATATTATATAATTACTCATAAAACCATTTTATTAAGCTTGTGATTTTACGTTTAAGACCTAATATTTAAATATAAACGCTCATTTGTATGCTATCGCTTATCTGACAATAAAATAAAATCTTGTTTCTTTATACAAGTGGTGTGATTTTTATTTAAATAAATAATAAATATTGGTACCTTTTATTTTTGTTTAAGACCTACACCTAATACAAAGAATAAAAGTATATTCTTTTGTTAACAATTACCTATATTATATAAAATATTAAACTTGGGTATTATTCTAAGTTTCACTCATATGACTCATATGATCGTTTTTCGATTATCATATTTATCAATCAACATTTCCTTTAAATATTAACAAATTTTGATTACATACATTACACTTTTGTCCTGTTATTAGTTGTAAAGATTAAATTATGTTCCATTTATTATACACTGGTCGCCATGAGCCACAGTGCAATTATTAGGAATGAAACGATAAAGGAATCAACTCAAATTTCGGTGTCATCCTCATCACACATAAATCAAAAATTAAATAATATAAAAAAAATTTAATTTTAATCATTAGTAAAATAGTAAAATGTAAACAAGTTATAATCGGATAGAACGTATATTAATTTAACATATTTTTATTTCATAATATATATCATAATGAATTTAAAATATACTTAAATATATTATATAAGCTTCCCTACTATTTTAATTTATTTAATTATTTCAATAATTTTTCGATGTTCTTAATGTGAATTTATATCAATTAGATTAATCCTAAACCTAACCCTAACTTATCTGATCTAAACAATGACTGTTCAATAGTTATTTTTTATCGAACATACCATATGTTCTACTATGGTTTCATTTAATTATTCAAGTTAGACTTTACTAACACCTCATATAAGGAAATATTGTGTTAGGATTAATAAAGATGCTGTATTACATTTTTTTTATAATCTTAAATAATGTAGGCAGTGAAGTCTTATAGTAGTCTTATAATATATTAAAAAAAGATATACCTAGACCTAAAATATACTTCGGTCGAATATTGTTTTTAATTTTCCTCATGGCATTTTAACTTTAGTTTCAATCAAATTAGTAAGTTCCATAACACATATAAACTATATTATTCAAAATTAAATAGTCAAATCTATTAGTATCCACAATAATTATTATGTGAATTTGATAATATTTATAAACGTGTTTGGTAAACAAAAAGTAATTATAACAAAATTCAAACGAAAAATGGATTTTATGTTTCATTTTATTGCAATTATTTTGTTTAAAATCTGTAATATACTAAAATAATATAAAATAACGCTTAATAGGTAATAATTTAATTATTCATAATTTCAATGAAAATGTGTTATTTTACCGGAGCATTTAGGTCAAGGATTATCATATTATGTATATATTTTTCTACCAACTTCTATCAGTTAAATAAAAAAAAATCTATCGTAGCAACCATTTAACGCACATGTACAACCATGAAATTCTATTATTATTCTACTTTGAGAATTACATGTTGAAGTATGTTAATAAATCAAGTGAAATTTGAGCAAATGACTTTATATTAGAAAGCTATATTTTTTCGACAAATTTAGAGTTAATTAAAAAGGTTTAATAATTTTTACTTTTTTGAGTATTGAGTAACAAAATGTTTTGTCGGCTTTGTGATCTATTTAATAATAAAAATGTAGTAACCTCTTGTCGAGTATACTATTTATATATATATATTTAGGCATGAACTAAACGCTAAATATAGTTTTTTTTGAGACTTATGAAAACAAAATTAAAATTAACGCCCGCTTGGTAATAATTTTTACCATGTATGAGATTGTTTCGTTATGTACTTACCCGTGTTACTTTGAACTAGATGACCTATCGTTATATATTTTTGAACATAATGTTTCCATTATAGTGTACCAACAAATAATTTTACTTTTAACAGAGTGATTTGCTTTATTATAAAATAATTCTTGCGGTCCATTAGTAAATTGACGTTTACTTTACGTATACATGCAATATTAGATATACGTTTCCAAACCTAAAATAGTGTAAAACTTCGCGTGTGCAGGATGAGGTATAGGTCGAAAGCTGGTTATAAGATAGTCCATTATGACGGGCGTGTACCCAATCATTATAGATTAAAAACGATTTTACGAAGCGTTCACCTAACGGATAAATAACTTTTTCCTTTTTTATTTATTTTTTTGGAATACCTACAACATTTAATAACTCGTTAAAGGTGGACATTTGTATACTGTTTATAATACTACCCAAACGTCTTAATAAAAAGTCAGTTGATTTTCTCGTGATGACCCTGGCTGGTGTCAATTATATGAACGAATGAACGACCGAACGGCGTCCTCGGACCCTATGTACGGTAGAACGCCGATTATCCGGACTAATTAATATCAAGAGTGATTCGGATAAGCAAATATCCGGACGATTGACATATGACTCATAAGTTATATGAATAAATTGTATTTATTTATTATTTATATGTAATATAATTTGAAATTTATAACAATCAACAAAAAATTTTATTACAATATCTAACTGAAAAGGAATAAACTAAATAAACTAGCTAAATGGATAATTGTAAGGAATCAATTTATCCATACCTGTACATATGTATGAATATTATTGATATATGTATTTTTATGTATATATGTAATAAAACGATATATATCTAATTTACGATTACAATTTTACGAGTTATAAGAAGACCAATTATTTAATTTCTTTTTGTCCTGTTCTCGGATAATTGGATGTCCGGTCGATTGACGTTCAGATAATCGGCGTTCCACTGTACCTGTAAAGTGCATAGCTTTGAAAGCTCACAGTTTGAAGTTTTCACTGCTAAATAGAGAAAACAAAAATGTAGATACATGATTTGTACGTTACTCGGCCGACCGGTTGTGAAATATTGTATTTCCAAAGTTTGACGTCACAGAAATGGCACAAAATAAGACCGCAGTTAAATCTCTCTTAAATTCGCGAGACTAAAATCGAAATAACGATAAGAAATCACGTTGTTTCTGTACGTCACGCAGGCATGTGTGCAAGGGGTGGACGAGCGGCGTAGTAACACAAGGCGCGCCTATAGTTACTGCGCGCCTCCAGAGCTTGTACGTGCATAATTTATAATTGTCCAGCGTCTACGATTGACTTGTACATAGTTTTTTAAAACAGTTTAAACCACTTGTATAGGTAAAAAAAAACGAAGAAACTATCGGTATGGGAAAAAAAAACCGTTCCGCGGAAATAGATTATAGGACACATATTTAATCTCACCGAAGACCGAGGACGGGTGCGAAACGATCGATTATTCCCCCCCCCCCCCCCGCGCACGATCTAGCGTTATTTTTCGTCTCCGGTAATTGATTTTGTTTTTCTTTCGTTCTGTTTCCACGCGACAGACAATCGGAAAAGATCATCGTGCCGGCGGAAGTGCCGAACCGGGCGGCCGAGGCGACGGCGTCCGTGACCAAGGACCCGGCGTACAAACGATTCGCGAGAAAGCTGTGCGGTGGCAGCGACCGGCGTCGACCGACCAAAGGATCGTCGACCGCAGCCGGCGATGGCCAAGCAGCGTCCAAGCGTTGGACGGCCATGTGGAAACGTAGCCCACGGTGGTGCGGCCCGCGGTGCTGCGGCCGGAAACGAAAGGACGCGGGCCCACCGGACGTAGCGGCAGTGGCCGGCGACCGTCGACCGCAGTGGTGGCGGCGTTGCAGACCGTGCTGGTGCTGCGACAAACGGAAGAAGAGGCTCGGGCCCGCGGCGTTGTCGTCGTCATCGTCCGACTCGGTCGGCGTGCTCGGCATCTCGCCGCCGTCGGCCGACACGTTTTGCGTCAAGTTCAAGCGGCGCATATGCTGTTGCTGCGGCTGCTGCGCCGTGCCCAAGTTCTTTCGGCGGCTGTGCTGCTGCTTCTCGCGCTGCCGCGGCCCCGGGAAACAATCGAACGTACCGGAGATCAAATCGACCGACGCACAACGGCCGTCCCGGTTTAAGTGTACCGGTTGCTGCACGGTAAGCGCGAGTTGTCGCCGCAGCTCCCCCCCCTCCCCCCGGTGACTAGAATAATACGCAAGGGCGCAACTAGAGCCCAAATATCGGGGGCGCTGAAATTGCTGAAAATTAAATTAAATGTTATTTAACTATAATTACTATAGATTATATAGATCTGAAAAAAAAAAACAAGAGTGCTACATTCGAACTCGGGGGTGCTAAAACCCCTATTGTTTCCCCTTAGTTGCACCTATGATAATACGCACGCGCGTAGTGAATACCACCAAACGAAGGAAATTCCGTTTAACCTTTGGTACTCGGCGATTCCATCTGGTGCGCAGTTTTCGTCGTACTTAAAGAGCGAGAGAGAGGATTAAAAGCCATAACGACTCTATTATAAATCGAAACGGCTCCTTTATCGCGATGTTTTCATAATGAATACTCTTCCTCTTCTCGTAGCACACTTATCTGTTTTTATAAAAAGTTTCGTTTCACCATCAGCAGATGGCGTATTTAGTTTAGCGATTCATGATTAAACACTCTACAGAATATTCTTATTTTTTCAACCACATAAAACCACGATTTCAGTACAATAGATGACGTATTGTTGACGTACATCAATGAATTCGAGGAATTAATGTGTAAAAAATAAAATGAAGATTTTAGCAAACGTATAACTATGGATAACTTTTAAAAATATATAACATCATAAGTCCGATGAAAGTTTTGTTGGTAGTTATATTGAAATAAAATCAACCGATAAAATTACTGGAAATTAAAATGCTATAATACTCGTATTTCATTATTCAGTAGTTGATTTAAACACTTGTAAATAAGAATAATCTACAAAAGTTTCCATTGGTTAACAATAAAGAATTGTCATCGAGGCCAAAAGGAGCAACATCAAATCCGATACATGACTGAATAAGAAAATCGGTCTAGTAAAAATAGGTGTTACAAACTATTAAAATTCGCACATTTAACAATACAATGATCGATACTAAATTTAAAATTATATAATCCACGCATTTTATTAACTCCTATTTTATACAATTCAACAATAGTTTACTAAATAATTTAATCGTTTAGATTGTAAACATTTAATATTTCATTGAATAGAGTAAAAATGTTAACCCGCAAATTTTATATATTTATTTATATATATGTATATATATTTGTAGAAACCCACATTTCGACGAAACATTGATTTGTGACCTTTTAACATTACTCACAATGAATATTTTTTAACATGAAAATAAGCTTATTTATTGTTCATTTACAAAAAAAAGAAAAAAAAAGAACCTTGTTTAACTGGTAATGAAATAATGAATGATGATTATTGGAAAACTTGACCATTGTAGACACGCGTAGAAATAATTATAGTACCTAAAAGACGTTCACCCATTGTTTATACTTAAATACATACTATACCACTATTATTATTAGTCAAAAACATGTATCATCCCGTTTAGGTTGAAAACATTAAATAAAAATGATTAATGTATTATTTTATACCAAAAAATTACTTAAAATCAATACACACAGACCCGTAGGAAATTATGATAATGAGTAAATTAATCATAAATATAATATTGTGATAATTTTGAAAATTTAATCAGCATCAAACTAGTATAATTGCCTGATTATTTACTTATTTAACAATTCTTAATCGATTAAACAAATTTCTCAAGAAATATTATTTTATTATTAATTTCTTAGATTAGATTACAATAATATTTTAAATTATTTACTCGTAGTTTAAAGATATGTTTTTCATTCTATAAAAGAAAAAAATAGTGCGAAGTTAACATTAATTTTATAATATACGAATACGCCATCCAATTATTAAAATTGGTTAGGTAATCGTTTTCATCCAACTTGATAGAAACACGTTTTTAACAGTAGAAGCACTATTCACTTTATATTACGTTTTTCTACTGTTAAAAACATTAGAAAAATATTTTATTAATATAATTGTATTAATAAAAATAATTTAAGACAAATTTTTTAATAAAAATACACAGTTGATTGTTTGAAATTATATTTTATACATTTTTAACTCTTTTCATTGCTGAAAAACGAATTTGAATTTGTTATACCAGTAACTGCAGTTTGTCAGAGAATCAATGATTTATTGTAATAAAATAATAAATAAATTTCAAATTCAAAATTATTTATTAGTTAATACTCGTAAATTAATATAAAAATACATAAATAAATAGTTTACATATAGAAACAAATAAATAAAAGTTTAGTCTGGAATATTATTATATTTATAAAGTACGATTGATTTTAAATTAAAAATTTTAAAAATGAGTAGCGTTATTATTTTTCATATTCAGTCATAGTTTTATTAACTTTGTTAATAAAATTTGACTTTAAAATGACTTTAGAAAAATGACTTTGGAGGAAGATATCACGAAGGGTATGAGGGGACCAATGATAATAAGTGGTGATGTGAAAAGTGAAGTCGGGAACTTTAAATATTTAAGATTACTTGTATAAAAAGACGAAGGTCTTGGCATGAATGTAAAACATAGGAATAAGTGCGATTGGATGAAATTGAGAGAAACATCGGGCGTTTTATGCGATAAGAAAATTCTAATGAGGCTGAAAGGTAAATTTTACAGGAGTGTAGTGGGACCAACTATGCTATATAGTTCAGAGTGTTGGGTAGTTGACAGGAGAATAGAACTGAGTATGAATGTTACAGAAATAAAAATGCTTAGATGGATGAGTGGAGTGACAAGAAAAAATAGAATAAAGAACGAGTATGTGAGAGGTATTATTGGTGTAGCGTCTATAGTGGACAAGATGAGAGAAAATAGAAATAAATGGTTTAGGCATGTGATGAGACGAGAGGCAAAAGCAATAAGAGTTATTATGAAAATGTAGTTGAAAGGAAAAGAAGAAAACCAAAAAATAGATGGTTGAATACAGTTGAGAATGATATGAGAGCCGTTTGTGTGTGCATAGGGGATGCAGAAAATCGAGATGAATTGAAATTTAGGACAAGGCTGACCGACCCTGAATAGTTGAAAGAAAATCGAAGGAAAAGAAGAAGATGGCAAATGATGAATTTTTAATTCGAAATCGGTCGTACTTTACAAATATAATAATACTTCTAGCTAAGATTTTATGTATTTATTTATTTATACGTATAAACTATTTGTTTATACATTGACGTATAATTGTTACCCAACGTCTACTTATCTAATTATTTATGATTTATATAGTTAAATATATTACTTTTTTTTTGTATTTATATACTTATATTTAACCTTATTGGACTTCTAACATAATTTACTGGCATGAGTATGTTGATATCTTTATTGGGAACTTATAGCGTTTCTCAAGTTTCTAGATTTTTATTATTTTCTTCCACCTTCTTAAAATTAAATAAATATCGGTCAACATCAAATCATCTATTTATCAGATTTTTAAAGTATACTACTAAAAACTAAAAATGTGCAAACAAATAATAATATTATTTAATACTTGTATGTTATACGTATAAATAAACCACAGTTCTATTATACTCAGTATAATAGAATACTTGTATGTTAATACTTCAATAGTTGCATAGAAATTATTGGTGGAAATGTAAAAGTATTTCATAGAAGAATTTAAAATATATTCAGAAGTTTGTATATAATATATAGTATTTATATTATCAAAGACGTTATGCATTTCTATTATCTACGCTTGTTGATTATACATAACAACCCTTTCAAAATACGCTATTTTAAAGTTTTCATAACTTATTAACTTTAGTCGAGTATAAACCAAGTTAAGCTTAAGAAAATTACAATATTTGGACATTTTAAATTCTTGAAAATAAAAGTATTTAGGGACCTGTTTATTCATAGTAAACATGCACACAAAAATGTATCTGCTAATAAAAAACTAATAGAAATTGTTCATTTACAATTGAAAAAATAATTTTAATAAAATAGCTTTTTTAAAATAGTTTTAAATGTCGTAGGTAAGTGAGTTAATAATACTAAAAACAGTTACATAATAAAATATACTATAAGTTATAGAACCTTTTTTACTTAATAAAAAAAAAATTAATTCCTGGAACTTATTCAAAGTTTAATGAATGGCATCACACTAGGTAGTTGTTTTAATAAAGACGTTTAACCTAATTCTTTGTACTAGTTAAATGTGAACTTCGCGTGTACTATAGTGACTAGATTTTTTCTATGTGTAGGTACTTATTGTAATCACTGTAACTATATCGGCAAGTTAAATTGTTATTTATGTACATTTATTTATTGTTTGAATATAGAATATACCAAAATTGGATGCAGTTTTCGTTGATCATTCGTCCGTTATGAAAGGTGCTATTCCAGTACTACCAGTAACACTGGCATGGTTATGTTTAGTTTTCAACGTCATTATTCCTGGAGCAGGTAATGTTATTGTGGTCAATAATTGACAGCAAAATAAAAAAGTGCAGCATTTAAAAAAAAAACCCATTCATTAACCTATAAACGTCATATTCTTGAAAATAGTTGAATTTTCACCAACTATACTAATTCATAGAAAGTGTAAGCTTTAATTTATCCCTTTACTCTTGACATGTGATACATAATAAATGAAGATAACATTTAAATTCAAATTTAGTTTATTTAAAAAAAATCATTATTAAGTATGCTACAACAGGGTAATCTGTATGAAATAATTCAATAAAAAGTAGTACTGAAATAAAATGTGTACATTTTATGTTTATAGTCTGTAATAAAACTATTATATTAGAATGGACTTTAGACTTGTATACTTTTATGAATCATCAAACATTTTTTTTAATGTGAAAAAGTGGGCAGTTAATCGGATATATTTTCAACAGTACGCAGAAAATAAACAACTTATTACAATATAATATCGGAAATTATTGAACATATGGATTTGTTTAATATTATTTATAAAAAAATATTTTATAAAATATTGTTTTTTTAAAATATAATGATTTCAATGGAAAAATTATACTAAAAAATATACTTCATACATTTTTTATAGTTTGAAAAATAAGTATAAATAAACCACAGTTCTATTATACTCAGTATAATAGAATACTTCATTATTATTATTATTATTAAGTTATAATATATAAGTATAATAACTTCTATTATACTTCAGTTTAATTTTCTTAAAATACAATCAATAAACTTAAACACTTTAGAACTTTAAATACAATGTCACAAATATTATAAAATTACACTAATTTTGATGGAAAATTAAAGTCCTTTTATGCAGTTTCATGTACAATTATGCATTTGTACATTATATTTTTATTTGTTCAAATCAATTTGATTTAAAATAAAACTTTAAAATATCAACTAGAAGAATAGTTTAGTGACTTTATGGAATCTGTAAATATACTATAAATTCTCAACTCACCGTTTTATTATTTTTTTTTAATGCTTTGAAGTGCAATTAATAAAACGATGATTGTTTTACGTTGTAAAAAATACAATAAATGTATTTAAGATTTCACAATGATGTTCTTTAATCAATGATCTAGCTTACGCAAGGATAGATAATCTGGATCACAAATAGTATTTTGTATCACATTTACATATTATAGATAAATATTACATTCATAAATAATATCAATGTATCATTAATCTTTTAGGCACATTATCCAGCGGAATGCTCTGCCTGTGTGTCGGGAAGCCAAGATTTACGGTCAACGACAACTTTCAATCCAGGGTAGGTGCGTTCTGCGTGAACTTTATTGTGGCCGCTGCCCAGCTATTCACGGTGCTGTTCTGCCTAGTTGGCTGGGGATGGAGCATATGGTGGGGAGTGATAATGCTTAAGATGGCCAGTGAGTACAGTATGCACGAACACTTGTTCACGCATATATTTTTTTTTAACTGTCAAAACGATTGTCAGAGGTCTTTGTCGATATATTTTTTACTTAGGAGGGTTAAGCGGAGTGTAACACTTGTACCTGGTGGTGTAGAAAAGGTATGTAGGAAGCGAACTGTGCTTACGCCATGGGTGAGATTTACTAAGAAACGCAACGTTTTTTAAAAGTCGTATTTTAATTCTTCTTTTAAAATGACATTTTTCCATTATACTTTTTTAAATGCGTAGATCTTGTCTAATTGCATACACTGCGTGTGAATGTAATGATGAAATTATTAAAAAAAAAAAACACTAGGGAATTCTGCTATTCATATAGCGAATTATCGATGAATTCACCAGTCTGAACGCGAGAAAAGCAAATGTTTTGAGTTTCAAATCCACTCTGTAGTAATAACTAATAATATAAATTGTATCCTTAAAAAAAATTTAAAATAAAAGGTTAATAAAAAAATGTCATAACATTAAATTTTAATTGGTAAAAAGGTTTTTTTTTAAGTTTGCTAATGTCGTTAGCGAGTTTTTCTATGCCACTGCTTGTATCCTCTTAGTAGAGAATTATCACGGGTGTGAACTTCATTCCGGTGGAGTTGGTCCGGTAGGGAACAGTGTAAACAACCAGAACGATGGAAGAAGAGAGAGAGACTACAGATTTAATTATTCATGCATGAAAAAATAAAATGTATAGGTATAATCCGAAACGAATAAGTTCAGAAAAATAAAGAGAAGGGTTAGTTTATTTAAAAATAAATACTTTTGATAGGCATTTTTATCATTAAATAGTAATACATATGTCTGTGGATTGCATAACAGTCTATAGGTTTAGGAACACTCCCAATTGCTGATGATATTATCATATTCCAATTTAATTCCTCGCACGGTAAATAATATCATAAATTATAACTATAATTTTTAGGTAATAACTATACTCGTACCTATTAAACTACTCACGATTCAACTGAGACTTGACGATTAAACTCAACTGTATATTATAAACGGAAATATTAGCTATTATTAAAAAAATAACTTCATATATTTCAAGTTAACTTTAAACTTTATTGACAAAGTGATATATTTCTAAATGTTCAACATAATGATTTCCTGACTACTAGAATAAAACTATGCATACATAACTGTATGTAAGACAAATTAGATAACATAATATTTTACAAAATAAATAATTTATAATACACGCACCTGTAATCGCATGTACTATAATATTTATATAATGGTAATTATTCTAACTTATTATTTTTTAAATTTACTCTAGTTCTACCTGACCTTCTCATATTTTTTCTAATACTTTTAACAAAAATATTTACAAGCGTATTTCAACATAATGTATGGACTGGAGAGTACGTATATTTTCTAATGTAGGTATATTAACACAGACCATACATTTGACGTTTATATTTACAATTTGCATACGATTAGTAAATATTATCAACAATTAATAATATATTGTACTTTATTTTGATCAAGAATACCGTGAATTGTAACGCAACGGTTTCGTATTTATAAATTAAATATGTATAATATTATTAAACTTGGCGTACACAATAGTGCAAAGAATTTAATAGTTAATTATTGCGATGGTTTATATCGAACGATTTCGAACAATATTTTACCTTCATCTTATTGAAATATATTACAACGTTTTTTATTATTATTTGTTATTACTTTATAACTTATGATTTCAAACTTTACCGCACGTATTTACCGTAATTTCATTATTGTGTAATATTATAATCTGGGCAATGTAAGTGTGGGTAATGTCCAAATATTTGTCTATTTTTACTCATTCTTACTATTCAAAATTTTTAACTATACGTAATATTTTTCTCAGTTTGACCACATTCGAATACCAAGTCCGGTCATTTTTAGAACTCCGAAAACAATACCGATTTCTAAAGTAAAATACATACACTCCGATTTGATCAACGTGTAGTAGGCACAGCTGAGCGAGACCGGATAGCAAATTATTATACACATAACACGTACTAAATGTTCGGTGTACGTAATAATTTTTTTTTTAAACATTTACGTGTCTCTCTCTCTCTCAGGATAACAATGAAAAATAACTTCACGTATTATCCGTGCATGATATTATGCATTACAGTCCGACCAAATAGAGACTCGGGCTCACAAATATTTTTCCAGCGAGACGTATCTTTATTTTTTTGCCTCGCGTGTACGAAACAACTTTTTACATTTTAAATAACAACTGTGCATGTTCTTCGTTTTTTCAACTCCTATCGTATCTCTAACAGTGACTTAATTTTATAATTATTCAACGGGTATCCAAACGAAACATTTGTATTCATTTTTTTAAAAACCCATCTACGGCAGGATACTTTTTACCGTACGTGATTTGTTAATTATTTTGTTGTACTAATGTTTTGGATACGGTTTTTTTTTTCTAGAGAAATACCAGAAAATCAAAATGGTCGATCGTCCAACTGAAGCGCCTATAGCCGTCGATCACAACCATCTGATCTGATATTCATACACATACACATTTATATTTCCATCGTGTTTTATTAATATTTACTATACACAATACACATATTTAATTTTAACGTATGAACGAAATGAAGAACGGCGATATCATGCATTGGAAAAACTGGAGGTACAATATCATAATAATACTATTATGATATTCATGGTTTTGCCTTTTCGGTGTAAAATGTCTGTATCGGACGGGTTACGTACCTACAACTGTTGTTAGACATAATAATTGTGTTGTACCCGTGTATTTATTCATGCACGCGGAAAACTTTTTCGTGATATTTTTAACAACTTCAAAAATTACAGAGGAATTGACTGTAATCTCGTATAGGTAGGTAAAACAAATGCACCTACATTGATGAGCAAATATCGATGAAAACAAAAATTTTTTTTTTCTATTTTGCTTGTTCGCATTTCATTAATCATACCTACCTACTACGATGTTAGTATATGAAAATATGAAAAATGGGATTTTGAAACTAAACCTATGTTGGAAATTAAATCGTAGTATCCTAACCTGTACGGTTGCACCTACATGTAGGTTACGTTATAATATACAGTGTGTGTTGACAAGCTTTGGATTTTGGTGTCTGAGTTCGATTTCAATATCACGAACGAAAACGAAAGCGACTAATTTTTTAATTTTTTTTTTCTCCGACTATCATTAACAGCACCGGCGGAAGGGCATATCAGAAGAGGCAGCTGACCAAGGCCCCGCGCCTGAGACGCGGATTAGGAGGCAGGTTAAAAGGCTTATAGCCTAGGGCGGCTTTTTTGGGAGGGCAGCTTTTTTTTTACAGAATTAAGTGTTATTATTGACTTATTAGGTATATTTATTTTAATATATATTTTTTTTATATTTGTCATATAAACACGAATAAAAATAATTTTAAAAATTCATAACAATATATTAATACATACATACATACATACGTACATTGTATGATGCGTACCTATAGGCTATAATAAGAATATTACAATTATTATTACAATTTGAAAATATTTTATTTGTAATAAAATAATTACAGTTAGTTACTAGTTATTATTAATAACTTATTAGTACCTATGTACTTATTGGGAACATCCGACTATCCGGGTATAGATATTTTCATATCTGGCTATTTATATTTCCGTTATGTGACTGTATAAGCATTGTTTATTTGTACTAGTAATAATGGTATCTAAAGTAAAATAATAGACAAGAAATATTATATTTTTAGAAGTTCTCTATTTTAGAGATTGTATATTTTATATATTTTTTTTTTTTTGATAAAAACAACTGAATAAAATTTGAAGAGAAGGGTTTAGACCAAATATTGTTGGTTCCTTAGTATAGTGATAGGGGGGGGGGGGGCAAAGTGATTAAGTCTAGGGGCTCCAAAACGCTAAATCCGCCACTGCATATTTCTCATGGGATTTAGTCGTAGGTAAGCCTATAATTTTGGTTTTAAAATTAAATACCAAGTGCTCCCTGTTGTGTGAAAAAATGCATAACGTTTTAATCTTTAACTTCAGTATTATACCTAGTAGGTACCTATACAGCAGTATAAATAGTATAACATTAATAAATTAATACACAATAACATATTTTGGATGCTTTGATGATAAAATATTATGTCCATATTAAGGAAAAAATGTTTTCATAAGCTATGTAAAATAAAAAAATATGTCATACGATTACTGGAGTGTCCAAAACAAAATTTTTTTGGCTTTACAAAAAAAATTCAAAGGCCCCGCAAAACCCGCCAAAGCTGATCGGCATCAGTTGAAATACTTAATACTATCGGTATAGGAACTCAGGAACTGGAAAATCTTTAGTGTGGTGGTTTCTCGTTGCCTTCTATAGTGTTTCTCTCTACGACTAACTATATTATACTTTTGAAGTTAATACAATTGATCAATATAATTACAAACAATTATTGATGGCAAAATATATAATCATCCATGAGATAAACAATCGATGTACCCTGTCTAATGATATGTGAATAATTAAAATATAAATATTATGGCGTCCTGCCTGCAATATGTATAATTTTTTATAGATATTATATTATGTAGATGGCAGTCGGCAGGTACGTTATGCAAGGGGTCAACGTTAACTACGAATTATCACTAAATAATATAAAATAAAACGGAATTTTCACCTTATTTTTAATATAAGTGTAATATGACTATAAACTAACCATGGTTATTTGTTCTTGCAATATCCAAACCCGAAATTCTTTGCAGAAATGTTATTATCATATTACATTAGTATTAATATATTGATATAAATTATTATCAAAACACTTAAATGCATTCAACATGTATGCACGTAATAATTTATTCAACATTTAGATTTTCAGACTTATAACGCACTCTAGGGAATTAAAATATGCTCTTGTACGGTTTTCAAGTACTCTAATTAAAGACAAGATATATTACAACTTCATTAGTTATTTATTTTCTCTCAAACAGTTCATAGTAAATAAGTTTTGCTCAAAGAATACGCTGAATACGTATAGGTACTGTTGATCACCTACTTTCGTGGACTCAGTAGTTACACCTACAAGAGTCAAAGTTACAATAATCAGTGCAACACGTACAGCAACGTATAATAATATTATTTTAGATATAGTCTAATCAGTGCTCGGAAGGAACGCGTTCAAAGGAACTCGTTCTTTTTTCCGGTACAATCAGTTTTCTGCTGAGTACTGCCTACACAGTTTTATATATTAATTTCTTGTTATTTTCACTAGTTATTTTATTACTTATTACAAATTAATAATTATGTCAGACAAAAGCACGAGTTCAATTTCGACTTCACGTATACCTATACGTGAAGTTGAAAAATATTTTTCTTTTCTTAAATTTTTAATGGACCTATTACATATTCAGTGGCGGTTTTTTAATTTTTGTCTGGGAGGGGGGGGTGTCCATAAACATTATCTTTTAATACATACAAATAAAGTTTTATTTATAATATTCAATATTTACTATGGTAACTGTTAGGAATATATAATAATATTTTGATAAAAAAATATACTTTATTATATTCAATTTTCGGTGAAAGATGGCCGAAAGTTTTAAAATCGCTGACTGGCCTGTGGTGAAAATAATTAATATTAAAAAATATTAAAAATTACATTCACAATACAAAATAACTTACTTATTATAGAATTAAAATTAACTACATATTATTATGAGTCAAATAATATGGATAAACACTCAGTAAATTAAAAAGCAAAACAATTTAAAATTGTTATTATAAATTTTACTAACCTGAATTTTAAATACTTTTCAAGTTTGATTCAAATTGAATGGTAATCTTAGTCCTTAGATTAAAATAATATTTGTAAATATACTCGTAAATAGTAATTGGTAACTTATTTATACAAGATTAAAAGTTTACAATTTATACGTTCAACGGGTGCATCGCGGTCGGTTGAAAAGTGAAAAGTGATTGTCAGTTTATTGCTACGCTAATCCACTAATGTACATTCTTCAAACGGCCGAATGCTATTATTATCACAAATAATAGATATCGTAAACGTCAAAATGTCAGAGAAATATAAATACCTAAATAGCTGTAGCAAACATTCAAATATACGAAATAATAATGATGAAATCATTAGAATTATGTAAAAGTAAGCGTGTATACCCACATATAAATAGCTACTCAAAACCCGACCGCCACGAACGAAAAATGTATCACTGCATAAACTTGGGATCTGGGAGGGGTTCAGACCCCCTGGACCCCCCACGTAAAACCAACGCTGTACATATTATAAAATTATTAAAATTGAAGCAAGTATTATAAAATTGTATGAAATAAACAACTTTAAAACAAAACAACATCTAATTAAATTAATTATATACAATCAATTAAATTGATAAAATTTTAAAACTTTTGAAGAACGAAAAATGTTCCTTGTTATGTAATAACGGAATTAGGAACGGGGAAAAGAACTAGTTCCTTTTTTCAAGACAGGAACGGTAAATGATTTAGTTACTTTTTAACAAAGTGAACGTGAACGAGTTCCTTTTTTAAAGAAACTTTCCAAGCACTGAGTCTAATTCGATTGATATGTACTTTATTTTTTTATTGTATATCTTAATGTAACAAAGGCAAGTTGTTGTATATCATATCTATATATTAGGATTATATGATGTAATTAGTTATATCTTGACCAATCCTTTATAGTCAGTAAGTCCTATATTTTATTTTTATTAAAATTAACAATTTGTCCTAATTAAACAATCATATATCGATTTTTAAAAATAATTGTTTGTAAATCATGAACAAAAAACATATGATTAACTAGTTAACATTATTATACAAGCATGACATCATGTTTGTATTTAATTGCACATAAGGTTTTCAATTTTACTTTTATATATACACCTTTAATTTTTTTTCAGTTTCAAAAGTTGTACGGTTCATTAATTTTATTCATTAATTTTAATTTTTTAATCCATACAGGAATGGTATTTTTTGTGATAATACAACAAAATATTTTTAATTATGATTTATTAATGAACCAACCTTACAAGTTTTAATACACATTTATTTGAATCACACATTTTTAAAACAAACTGTAACATATTTATATTTTTCTAATTTAATTAACATTTTTCAAATGATAAATTTCATGTTATTATTTACAAAATATTAGATATTAAGATTTTGTATAATAATTGTAAAATCAAAAAATGTACACAATATTATAAAAAAATGCAACTTCATAATAAAACAAATTAACTACCTCTTCATATTTGACAATAAATTTAATAAATTATTATAGTTATTAATATTGATACATATTTAGATAATATTAATAAACCGGAAGTATTATATTAATAATTAAATATTGAATTGCAACAACAACCGGAATGATAAAAAAGGAATAGAATGTTACATCATAATAAGGTAAATAAAAAAAATTTGAGCAAATGAAAGTAACAAATTCCTTTCATCACTTAGATTCTAAAATATTAATATTTCATTTTTATTATATTAAAAAAATATAATATATGTATTGTATTTAAAAAAAAATTCAGAGGTAATTGGCAACTATTTAAAGTAACTTGAAATGTACCTTATCACTAAATGCATTAACATTAATCAAATACAACATATGAAAATTTACATTATTTAAATTTTCATCATACAGCTAAAAAATTAATTACATTACTACATCATAGTTATATGATCCATAGCGAAATGCAAATATAAAGGACAGTTCATGGTATTATTATACTTAATAGTTAAAAGATTTAAAAAAATATACTAATCACTTTTATTTAAAATATTAAATACTTCCAGAATCAAAAATGAAATGGATAAATTAAATAAATCACAGTATTATACCAAAAGTACTAAATGAAAATTTAATCAATTCATTTGACTCCTTTTTTCTTGTTCTTCTTTTCTTTGTTATTCCGTTTTTTAGGTTTAACTTTTTCATCATCACTGTCATTTTTAGATTCATCATAAGAGGTCTTAAAACCTTCTTGTATGCGTTGTCGAGCTATACGTGAACTGTTCCTACTACTATATGAATAATTATTTTTCTTTGGATTCATGCACACCGCCAAGTGTTTAGATAAACCCAAACATTTAACATCAATATTACACTTAGGACAGTTTACATCCTGATTTGCTTTAATAATATCCAACTCTTCAGCCATGGTTCTTAATGGTTCTTCAGGTACGTGACGACGAAAGAATTGTTTGGGATCACACATACCCAGTTTTAGTTCCATATGCATATGAAATATATTTTCACACACTATTTCATCAATCATTTTAGTTAATGTTTTCCTAACTTCAGGTGAGTATTTTTTAAGAATCATCGATTTTACAGCTCTTAATTTTAAAGAACGTTTTCTTGCTTCATCTTCGGCTCTTTTACGCAGCAGTAAATCCATTGTAGAGGATTTCAAAAATATCTGAAAATTAAAATTGCGATAAAGTTTTATTCGTAATTATACAGTTGTTTATTTAATTATAAACTGATCACAAACATTTTAGTATAAAGAATTATTTTTTTAAATAGGATATTTATTTATAATTAATTATTTATTTATTCTGTTGCCAATATTTAAGAACCTGAAAATTAATTGTTTTAAATAAAGAGTTTTAATTTGTATTATTAATAGACCTTTACAAGATTAAATTGTTGATTAATCAAATTTACTGTTTAATATTACTAGTATATAATGAAGACTTAAAATATTTACATTTGTTATAAGAAATGTTTGAAAAAAAAATTCATTATTATTTGTAATTGGAAATACCATCTACTAATACTCATCAATTTATTAATTATGCTTTCTAAAATATACCTCTTTGTTATGCACCAATTAACTAACTTTAACAGTGCAAATAAGTATATGTCACTCAAAGATAAGAATATAATACAAGATCAATTAAAAAACATAACACTCAACACAAATTATATTTTTTGTTGTAAAATATCATATATTTTTATATTAAAAAAATAATATTAATAAAATAAAATTGAATTGATAAACTCATATCAACTACACATTTTTTAATTTAAAAATTATAAAACTAATACAAATGATAAGACTTATGCATTTTAAGGAATATAATATGTAACACGAACATATTGTCAAGATAAAAATCTTAAATAAATACTTATAAAAGTATCCTACAATATTATATATTTTGAGTAATAATAATATGCTTTTTTTTTTTTTTGTGATTATCTTGTTTCACAATTATATTTTTAACAAACAAAAAAAATATCTATGATCTTTGAATACAATACATAATAATTTATTAAACTTAACATTTAAGTGCACACATAAAATATATATATATATATATGTAATTAACATTTTGTATGCAATAGTACTGAGAAATGTACTCATAATAACCTTATGACTAAATTATGAGCCAACAATTTCAATTTGTTTAACATGATTAAAATACATAAATAAATGCATTAATAGATTATTTATACATAGAAAGATATCATGTTATTTATAATCATATTATAGAGGTAGATATTGGAAATAATCATATTTTTATAAATATTAAACTGAAAATTAAATAAGTGATGTATATTAAACTAAAATATTCATCTGATCAACAACAGTGACTAACAATATAATGTAAACTATTGAAATACAAAATAAGAAAACAAAATAATAGTTGATATTATTTTTTAAGCTAAAAAAAATATTAAAATGAAAAATTATAATAGTATTTTATAAAAAAAAAACCATTAGTGAATTTGTTTGAAAAAATTAATTTTAAAACATTCAGAAAAAATTATAAATAAGTTTATGATTTGATAAAAATTTCCTATTAAATAAGTTTTAATAGGCTTAATTTTAATGCAGACTTATCAGTTGATCAATATGCATTGTATATAAAATTAAAAATAAAAAATAAATAATTAAAACATATATTTTAAAACTGAACACTACCAATTATAACTAAGAACAACTAATTATTTGTTATAGTGATATTTTTAAGCCCCATATTAAGTTTTAACATTTAAAAAACTTGTAAAAATAATAAAACTTTTCCTTAAAATATATATTTAAATTTACTATGAAATTCTTAAATACTAAACATTATTTTTGTAAACGCTAAAACAGTGGATTATAGTACGAACATACTAATGTTTTGAACATAAAAAAAAAAAAGTGAGTATAACTAAAAATAATAATTTTTTCAAAATAATTCACAATGAAACAATTATAATATTAGTTATAAAAAATATTGTTACACAAAAAATGAAAAATGTACAAACAACTACATCTAAATAAACTTATATTTAGATTAAAATTTATGATTTAATATTTTAGGAACCTTCAGTACATCTTTGAACATTCAGTTTATTATACAAGCATTCTAGCTTAGTAAGCAAAGTTTCGTTAATAAATCGTGCACTTTCTAGTGGACAATAATCATCACCCGTGGACAAAGCAATTGTAATGGCAGCTGGTTCATGTAGTATGGGTAAAAAATTAAACACAATATCCATAGATTTTGCAATATCAGGTAAGTCAGTGTGATGATTGGGTAATTCAATGTTGTCAATTGTACAGCCCGCATTGTGTACAATCAACCAGTCAATAGTATCATAATGTTTAGATAATTCGTCTACAATAAACGATAAATCTTCAAGATTTACAGCAGTCAAAGTCTCAGTAGGATAATCATTTAATGACTTTCCGTCATCAAGATGCATGAACACAGATTCTAATTCTTGCAAAAGTATTTCTCTAGAGCGAGAACACTGAAGCAAACTATTAACATCATCTCTATTAGTTGGGGAGGTATATGTATAGATTTTATGAAGATTGGTATAAAGATTGGCTTTATCATACATTGACAAGAATGGATTATTTGTAGAAAAAAAATCGCAATCGAAATCTAAAATATAATGAGGATTATCTCGTGTATACTCTGTAAACTTGTTCCGTAAAAGATCAAATTTTTCTTCGCCATCATCAAAAATTGAACTACACATGGTAAACACGAACAACTTAATTGTTCTTATGTTGATAAGATCATCTTCCAAACAGTAAAGTCCTTCACTCAAATAAAAATCAGAAGAATTTGTCAGTCTTATAACGCCCGATGTCTTGTGCTTGCCAATAGTGAACACAATTTCACCGTCGCTAAATTGCCTTGCCCACGGAGGTTTTACCCAAATAATCTTATCAAAATGACCGGCATACGCAGCTGGTAGTATCCAGTTTTCAATGCTCAATGAATCGAACAATTGTTCTTTTTCATAAACATAATCGGCGGGCATATCTTTTGGAATGGACAGATCCGGATGTGAATCGAAATGCAGCAGGACATTGCCGTACAAAGGCAAATGTTTCGAACCTATTTCCCGATAGATATACTGCAACGCATCGTTGTGGTCATCAACAACGTGAACAGGCATCGTCGAGTGTTTCTTTATTTTGTAAACCATGTTTCTAATAATTTATACAACGCACATTTAAAAACGGTGAACTCACTAAGATGTATACAAGCGGTTCCACTTACTCCGATGTTTCCGAAAACAATGTCGATAGCGAACGTGGGTGACCCGGATAGACTGGCGACGGCGAACGGCGGAAACACGCTACGGTCGTAGTAGTGTAGTCGTCCGCGAAGATGGCGAACGTCCGTCACGATGTTTGGCGTCAGGAGCAGTGCGCGACGTGAAACCGAAAGAAAATAACGAGGCAACGTAGTGGGAGGTGGTATGGGGGAGAGGTGGACGCGCGCCAAGGGATGGTTGTCGACGGACGAGGTAGCAGCGGTTAGCGTGTGGACGCGAACGAACGATAACAGCGAAATGCGTAGAACGGGAACGAACGCGACGACGAGACGAGACGAACAAAGAACTGCGGAGATAACAACGGTTGAGCACGCGGTTACGTGCGATAGGGTGTCGTCCGTCGTACGGCCGTTGCGACTGATAATACGATAATACGACGAACGTAGCCGCGGGCACGTAGTAGTAATAGTAGTCGGGCGTCGTGACCTGATACCCAGCGGTTGCGATTGCGACCGCGCTTCGTGGATGAAATGACGTTTCGACTTAACCGCGCCGTCTCCGTAGACGCCACAGGTCGCGTATTTTTATATAAGTGTTTTCTTTTGACGACATCCGTTTTCACTGGTTGTGTTCGGTATAACGTTGTTCTAAAAACATAAAAAAGTTTAGCCGTTGGTCGTTTCACCGACTCGATTACGTCGAATCGATTCTTGTTCTTCTCCTTGCCTTGTTCCCAACTATTTGGGGTCGGCCACCCTTGTCCTAAACCTCCACTCGTCTCGATTTTCTACATCCCCTACGCACTCACCAACGGCCCTCATCACGCCGAATCGATTGGGCGCGTAAAATGAACACGTAGGTACATTCTAGTATCAAGATTCACGTGTTTTCCGTGCTAAAACGAAGTCAAATCCAAAATGTTTACTCCCGTTACGCTTTCAGGTCTGTCGAACATTTCTGGCGGACGTTAGCGAGCGATGCCCAACATACTTTAGAACGAAATAAAAAGGAAGAAACAAAGCTCGGTGGTCGATTTATCGTCCACGTCGACCCTTCCCCGCGGACCGATGTCGGGGTGGAAGATAAAGAGCGAAACGAAATGGTATTGCGCCAAAAACCGTTTATATCCGTAATACGTATACTGCGGTGGCATGATTCGCAACGGGGCAGCTCGATTACCAGTTCACTGGGATTTAGCTGTTCCAAAGTCGGCACCCCATCGAAACATCGAATCTACGTCGTTTCGTGGCGCCGTTGGCGCGTTGTCAACCGGACCGATTCATTGTTGTACCGCACGGGCACTCGTGTACGAATCATTATGTTTTCGGTCTGATTCAACTTCCATCCCCCACGTTTATCGACACTCGGCTCCTGACGAATCGTCATTTTATGAGAACGTGCCGACTGCCGCACTCCAGAAAAAAACTGAAACGACGCCACTGGCCCAGGGTCTATTGCTTACCCCATGTGTCGACACGTTCAACGCTACGTGCGGACCACGCCCGACGCGTTTTCATGGTTCGTCGTGTTTTTTTTTTTTTCACTCGTTTCACATTTTGCGCCAACGTGACTCGCCCGCCCCTTGTGCATCGTTCGGGTACCATAATACTATGTTCGATCGCTTTTCTATGATATACGCGACGACGCCCTAAAACAGTTTTTTCGAGTCCGACCGACTAGAATTTTCGTGAAATGTACGATTACATTTCACCTCAAATATTATGCACACATGTCGTCGCGAACGATTTCGTGTTGTCGATAAGACGAATTTGTGGGCGTCAGGAATCGGCAAACGTTTTTGAAATTCCGTATCGCCGTGAATAAGATCAAATTCGATATAATTATACAACAAATCGTAGGACTTTTTTACTGTTGTAAGGCGTATACTACATTTTAGTATTCCATGAATTTCGTTTATGGTTTGATCATTACTTACATGCATGCCATTTTATGTGATTTGTTAACGAATCGTTCCTGTACACAACTCGACAATAATTTAGAGGAAAACTTTAATTTTTGATAAATTTAAACAGGGCCGGCGTAAGGCTAAATGACGACCGAGGCCAAAATGCCAACTGGTGTCTTTTTCATACAAAAACCCATAATATCATTATTATATTAAAAAATGTTGTTCGTGAACAGAAATGCAGAAAAATTATATATTATGCTCAACTTGAACATAATTTTTTACTGTCTAATTTTTTAGTCACGAGTCACGGCGGCTCATCGCGATCTCGATAATACCTACTACGCTACACTATAATAAATAAATTTAAAATATACTTATATTATATTAATATAAGGCTAAACAAAATAACCATGAATAATAACAATATTTCAATATAAAGCTATAGGTATTTTACATTTAAAAAAAAAATATATTACTGACATATGTCTAAAATTGTAAAAAGTAATTTCAGAGTCGCCTTACCTTTACCCCTAAATTTAAAGTTGTGAAAAACAAGTACCATGACAAACTTATTTCGAAACTAGGAACCAATAGCTTCTCACTGACATTTACATTTTTTTTATACACCCAAAACAATAATGTTTGCATTGTTTTCCTATAGGTTCGGATTACCATATTTTGTTTGGCAAAAACCGAAACAATTTCTTTTTATAATTTTCTTTTTATTGACATAACTTTTATTGATTTTTTGATTATACAACTGTTGCAACACACATAATATTTTAAGCTAACCCGACCGACGTTCTTCGAATTAAACGATTTCGTCGGTCAATTGTTCAACCTTTTATTTTATCATGTAAATATTATTACGGTGTTGTAATAAAATACAAACTTAAGTACATTTTTAAAGTCTGATTCCGGGACAACTGTTTGTCTCGAACACATATTATCGGGAAACCTGGACGCTATACTAAAAATCGGTACTGTCTCGGCCAAACCGGGACGTACGGCAGCCCTAACTATAAATAGATGCCTAGTTATTCAAAGCCAAGAATGAGGACGATACTTGGTTGATATAAAAATGATAATATTTTTTAGCACGACTGTTAATTATTACATACACGTCAATACATAATGTGTACTATAATATATGTAAATATAATTTACAACAGTATATTATATTCATTAACAAAGAATAACTAATACTATATAAGTCTGGTCTCGACATAGGATATCAAACGTACCGAAAAAAACAACATATCTAACCGTCCGTAGGTGTTGTCTATTTTATTAGAATATAATAGAATTGTATTTTGTCAACTGAACTATATATATATTGCACTGCGACGCAAATATAAAATTTGTCCTTGTATTTGACTGTTAAAAAATCAAATGCATTCAACAAAATATTTAACTTGTACATCTGATGATGTATGCATTTTATATGTTAATCTAATTAATATAATATGACCAAAAATTAACTTTATATTAGTTAAATATAATATTATTCTCACTTATTGTACGTATATTATTAATGTCGTCTGATATCTTGCGATCTATGACCTTTTTAAAAACAAAACACTTTCTAAGGCAATGTAATCATTAAAGTAATAGGCACTCTTTAGATTTACGGTTTTATTATTTACGAATTTCACAAACATTTATATTCTTTTTCATTTAACGAAATATTTATTACTAAACACAAATCAATGGTAACGAACGGACCAGTGTTTACTGTAGGTTGAGTTAAGTTCAATATACTTTTATTTATCTAATCTGTAAAAAATGTTGTGTACGTTTTTTTATTTGTTTTTGCTTTTCAGTAAACATTGAACCCTATGTACACCATGTTTCATAATAGTTCTTTCATATATTTTTATTTCACAATAATAATATTTTATCTATACTAAATAGGTTTTAGGAGTAATTAATGTTCACGGTCCACATGTACCTACTATGACCTTATGATTTCTTCGATATCATTATTAATACTAATTTATTTGTTTTTTTTTTTTTATAAATCATTTTAGCTTAATATTTACTTTTAAATTCATTAATTAATGGTTAAATTGTTTAAATAATTACAAAAAAAAAAAAAAAAATACTTAATTCTTAATTGTTTATACTAAAATTTTAATTTTTACGAATAAAACATTATTCTAAACTTATATTCTTTTTATGGATTCTATGAATTTGTATAGGCTATATAATATAATCGAATTTATAGAAGTTTTTTTTAGTTTAAGACAATATAACACTTTTTTTCTGTGTAAAAGAATTTATCGTAGGTTTTTTTCCAATTTATATTTTATAAATTAAACTTTAAATCATTTAAAAACATATTTTTAATGTTTATCATTTAATACAATATAACTCATTCAATACATTAATGGTTTTAACAAACTTATTGCATTTTAATGCCTAAATGCCTAATTTAATTTATTCATACAATTTTATAATATTATGTTTATAATAAATTATAATACAGTAAAATTTGCCTGTTAGGAAAACAGATCATTGATATGATAGGAAACAAAATTCTTTAGAACAGGACAACTGAAAGACATTGAATATAATTAGATTATTGAAACAATGAAATAGTATAAAGGTTCCTAAAAGTATGAGAAAAATATGGGTCAATTCTATATCAAACAGTAGGGGTTCTGGCAAAGAAAAACGGGTTAAGATGATTTTTTTATTAATACATAAGATAGTCAAGAAAGATGGTTAGTTATTCGTATTTAACAGTTAGATTAATAATTAGATCCCTATGACAAGTTGTCAATAACTATTTATATAAAAATTGTAGTGTAAAATTTAGTTTAAATGAAATAAAAAATAAATAGGAAATAAATAAGATTTAAATTAAATAAATAAAAATATTAAACTTACCTTTGAAAAACAAATAAATAATATATTACATTTCTTAGATATTACAATTTCCATAGTAAATAAAAATGTTGAATTTAGTGTTTACAGGGAATCTACACAAACTAATACAATAATACCACATGACTCTAATCGCCCATATTCTTAAAAAACACAATTTTTTTATTCAATTTTCTATAGACTTGAACGTATTCCATTAAATAAACGTACTTATCAACATGAAGTCAATATTATTTATAATATAGCCCATAAAAATAATTTAAATTTAAATATTATTAAAAAAAAATCCACAAACTTATTAAAGTAATAAAACATGTAAAACACAACTCATCAAATAATATTGCTTAACATATGTAATACACATGGTTGATAAAATTATAAAATGTATGTTATAGGTAAAAAGTGCATATGTCATCGACAAATAATATAATTTTTAATTATCTAGTTTCAAAATTGTAAATAAACCGCTTTATATATGATTTGAATATAAGATATCCAATATGAAATTGTATGTTATCTGATTCATGAAATAGATATATTTTTACTAATTTCATATTAAATATGTAGCTATCAAGCTGCTATACATTTTATGAAATAGGTAACATAAATTTATATTTTTATAGTTTGAACAATAGATAAAAATGTATTAGATATTAAATCATCAAAATATATTTAATTTAAAATAAATATTATATCTCATAACATTAAATAAATTCTATCACAATACTTCTTATTAACTAATTTCTAATAATAAAAATAATACAATTACATTTTTTTATTTTAAAATTAAAAAATAACATTTTATACATTTAAATGTATTAAGAAAGGAATATTACATTTATATATTCTAGTTTGATTGTAACTATTTCAGATTCTTAAAATGCTGCCCTAAGGTCATATAATACTATACTTCATTGTGATTAATAGTCCATAATTCATTCTTTCTGGTGACGTTTTAACTTCACAATAATACATGTCATGTTATCACAGCCGACTCCAGGTTTAGAAGTATCAGGAGCTAAACACACTTCAAATAACTAAAAAAGAGAAAATGATAATACAAAATAAATAAATGTAATAGAATAAACTAAAAGTTAAATATAGCATACTTCTTCACAAATTAATGATAATTTGATATCTGGGCAATGGATACGATTTGATATTAAATCAACAACTTTCTGGCTGCATAGGGTGTTCCAAATACCATCGCACGCTAAAATTATAAAATTGTCGTTCTCTGGATTTAAATCAACAGTCTGGACATCAGGGAGAGCAATGATAATTTGTTCAGTATTTGAAAACAGACTATTTGTCTTATACAAATGATCACCTAAAAGTTATAAAAGAACACTGTTTATTATTTTTATAAAATTATCTAGAATACAAATTATCACCGAAGGATCGAGACAAATTAAGGCCATGATTTATTCTTCCATCACTTGAAACTCTTCCACCAGCTGCAAGAATTCTTTTTAACTCTGCTTCATCTGTAGGCTTATGGTCTTTTGACAAATCATTAGCTTTGCCGTTCATGGATATTACACATCTGGAGTCACCAGCATTAGCAACGTATAATTTATTTTTTACTAACAAAGATACAATTGCTGTACATCCACTATCTTTTCCAGCCTGAAAAAGGAAATCAACTTCAATACAATGGTAACTGCCCATTAAACGATTCAAGTAACAGTAGAGTACATTTTTTATTAGTTAATGTTAGGTAATATGATCAATTTAACAGTTTAATTTGGAATGTATTTTAATATTAAAATAAAAGATTAAAAAAAAAAACTGCATGCCATAATACTGTCTAAAGTTATTTTTGAAAAGATAAGTAAAAACTAAAGAAAAAAAAATTTAATGTTAAGTAGATTTAAATATATATTACCAATTCAGTTTTTACAAGTTTTTCGTCATCTTCATCACCATTTTCTAAATATTTATTTTAATTAAAAAATGTTGTCAATACAAAAATGTACATTCTTTTAATATAGTTTTAAAAATAATTTATATTAATTTTTCATCAAATTTGTGTTTATTCTTGAATAATTACTGTACATATTTATCTATAAATAATAATATATTTAAATCCAATAGTTCAAACAGTTAAATAGTAATCAAAGATTTTATAATTAAAATATAAGTTCAGTATCAGATTACAATACAAACTAATAAATTCTGTTTAACATGTATAATATAAATAATATTACCATTTGAGCAAACAAAATTGATTCAAAAATTACAATTAATAAAGTAATGAAATATTTTGAAAACATATAAAAAGAAAAATAGTATAATAATTTTTTATTGAGATTGGAAAACTTCTTAATTGACAAAATAATTGTTATACTTTATAATTGTATAATAGAATTAAAATGAAATACAAACTTACCAAATAAATTGACAATCCATGATACAATTTTCTCTCCTAGAAAAACAAAAGCGAAGTAATTAAATGTTAAGAATATAATTTTATAAAATACATTTTTACTAATAATCTTATACTTTGACTAATTAGCCAAAATTAACAATCATTATATTCAATTATCAAATGGTTTTCATTTATATGAAAACTTACCGTTTTCTTCGGCTTTAACGTTTTTCAGTCTAAGAGTTCTCAGTCTTCTTAATGCCAACGGCTTGGTCAGACTGTCATCAAAATCCAGAAAAGCTTTAATCAAAGCATTTTCGTAGTCTCCATTTTTGAACAATTCATTCTTGATAAAGGAAGGCAACACCTCGACTGCATACTGAGCTACTTCTGCACCACCGTGTCCATCGAACACACCAAACAGTGATACATCATCATCGAAATCTAATATGCAGACATGAGCGTCCTGTGTGAAAAATCAAAAAATGTAAATTACCAACGTAGACGATTTTAGGATCAGCAGCTCTTGCAGATCACCGTAGGTAACATAGTATGGACACGGTCTTGCGGTTAACAAGATAATTACGATTGAATCGTTAGGCGTGACGAACGATCTCAACGGACGCAATGGAATACGTTCGGCGCTGGTTGCGACTGTACTCGTCCCGTCCGCCGTCATCGTCACGCCATTCTCACTGCGGAGCACAAAGAGGGACTACAGAACGTATTACCGCAGGTTGTACCTCTTGTTTCGCGCGCCATCCCTGCATCGCGCTGACGCCGCACGTTGACCGTTCGTCCTGCGCGTCCTGCGAGTCCTTGTCGGTGTTCGGTTTGCTCAGGAAAGTGCCCATCCGCGAGCGACGTGCCCGCCGCCAGCCCCGTCGTCGCAACGCGAAAATGATGTCCACGGCGCACCGCACCACAGGCTCCAAGCAAACGGCCACACCGGCAACTCCTTGTCTCAACAACTCTTCCGTCCGTACTGGGTCGTCCCCGATCGTCGCGCAGAACACGCGAACCGGGTGGCGTCCGAGACGGTGTTATCACGTCCAAACGCGACGACGACACGTACCGCCGAACGTAAAACGTAGTCGTGCTTCAGCGCTCGTTATCATTGCCCGTCACAACAGTGTGCTAAATTGTTACGGCCGAAGACGTAAGAGTACGTCTCTTTGATCGAATCCGAGACGGATTCCAGAGATATCCAACACGTCAACCATCGCGGAACCAACAACGGTTGTCTCTCGTCGTTCACGTTTCGCAGCAACCCGTCATTCCTATCCTTATCAACGGCGTTGCGAGTCAATTGTGATTTCCGCTATCTATTCGGATGGAACAATATTACGTTGTTGATTGTTACAATCGTACAGATCTTTGTACGTCCACGATCGAAACGTACAGTAATTATATTAAAATATACAATTAACATACATGTATCAATCTATGGATCACAATGTATCGTTTTTATCAACGACTGGGAGACCGTTTGAAAGTTAAATTTACTGTTGAAAACAGATCGCTATACCCATAACGTTTAGAAATTGCGTACTATTTTTAAACTTTTACATTTTTTTTCGTTTCATCATTGTTTACTTGATGAATTACAAAAGTTATATAATATAACAATGAAAACCCAAGTACGTTTCTATTGACTCCATCTTGTATTCAATCAGATTAATAAAAAAAAAAAAAAAAAACAGTAAAAAAGAAAATCAATGAAACGAACGTAAAGTATTGCCAAAAACGTTATTTGGAAAATATATTTTCAAGTAAGCACAAACAAAAAGAGATTGGCACTTTTGTGTACTTACAAAGCACAAGTACATAAAGTTTGAAAGTTAATTCCATTTTACGGTGCCTGTAAGTATATCAAATACCAGTCTAGTATTTTTTAAAAACTATTTGAATTACTAGTTTAGTACTTTTCTCAAATGTGCATATAAATGGTACTCAATTATTTTCTTCAAATACTAGGTATCAAAAAAGTGCCTTAGATGCTTTCTTTAATACTATCTTATATTTTACAATGATATGTACTTATTTAAACTCATTATACTATTAGACCTTACAAATTATAACTAATTAAATAAATATCGTATTTGAATTATTATAATATTTTTCAATAAAATAAAATATTTACAGTGCACAATTTTTAATATTTTTATCTTGACAGTAGTCACTTAACTCAAAAGTAATTGTGTTTTTATTTGGTAAATTTAAAATGTATATTTGTACCTATCTTTCAAAGCGTAAATGAATGAATACCTTCAACTATTATGCTTATATTAAGTATCAAAAAATTGTGCTGAAAAATCTTCCATGAATACTCAATATAAAATAAATACTTAACACGTTGAAAATGTTTTTTTCTATAACTTTTTTTACTCATTAGCAGTGGCGTAGCTAGGATATTTAAATGGGAAGGGCTAAACACTTATTTGGGCAGATTAAGTAAGAAATGTTTTAAGAGTTCACCCATTATGGGGATAATTAAATTTGGTGGTAGGCGGGGACACCAAATTTAAAAATGTATTTCCAATAGTTTAAAATAGTTTTAATAATATTTATTAAAATATAATTAATAATAATAATAAATAAACGGTGAAATCAACAAGAACTTACATGGTATAAAAATTGTAATAATTATAAAACGTGTGTACTAAACGAGAATCACCACAACTTTCACAATAACCACTAAAAATATAATAGTAATCCCGGTAAAAGTAATACGCTTATGTATTTACCAATAACGAACACCCGTTGTTTGTCAACATTTAATTAGGAGAAAAGTTTTGAAATATTTAAATACCAAATATATAGTATTATACTAGTTTAGTATATACATATAATAGATATAACCCCCTTAGCCACCCTCTTGGCTATGCCACTGCTTATGAGTAATTCATGTAAATTTGTTGCACTAAAAAATATATTTTATAGTTTTGTATGCAATTACTGATTACTGCAATTATACAATTACTGCATTATAAACTGACGAAATATGTAATATTATAAAAAAAAAAAATTTCAAATTTTTATATTTATTGTAATAAAAAAATTTTGTTTCAAATATTTTACTTCAATAATCGTGTAAAATACCACACGAAAAATGGTTGGTCTTCACATGTTAATACAGTACGGAAGTGATATTTTTTTTAGAAAATGTCATACTTTTAACGAAATAATGAAAATAAATACCAATAGAAAGTAGGTATAAGATTAATGGAAAAAAATCCTATTACTATTTCTATAGCATAATGTTAAAAAAAAAAATTTATACGAAGAATAATTCTTATGAATTAATTATTAATGAAATCATGCGTTTATAGCCCACGAAGACTTAGATTTGCAAACAATATGGAAAATTATTTTCATATTTCATTCATAAACAGCACAAAACTGAATACATTTTCTTATAAAAAATAGCAAAAAACAATAAATATGTAAATCCATTAAATTCACAATTCATTCGGTTTAAAATGTGATGAGACAAAAAGTTATTTCGGGTTAGGTAATATAACCTTGCACACAGTTCTAAAACAGTCCAACAAGAAATTATACATTATATTCTAATATATACGAACGCTTGCTTGACAGAACAATTTATATTTATTGCTGTTCAATTTGTTATTCAGTTTCACCTGCTCAATGCTAATATAATAACATTCGCTATATGAAAAAAAAAATTACTAATAATCTTCGTATTGACAGTGTCAGTAATAATCTAAAGTTACACTTATGTCAAATTAGCAATTCCGGGTGATGTTATAAAATATGGAAAAATATTTGGGTGATAAAAAAAAATAAAAAATTACAAATTGTTGCCTTTTCGCAATTCACCGACCGAAACTATTCGATGGCGCATTTTTGTCGTACTTTTTTGTTAAATCGCGTTATGAACAATTGTTTTTATTTAATGATTTATCACAAATGATCATAGAGATATTCTTTGAACAAATTTTTACCAAACGAATGTAAAATATTTTGAATTCATAACGGAAATATTGTAAAATTAGCACATTATTGTACTGCAATTATAAGCGTATGCAGCAAATGCTGCTTTCGCTGTATCTGACAATTTATCTTGGATTTAGTGGGCTAGTAGATATTTATTTGAAAGGTAAACATAGAATGAATAATTTTAAACATATTGAGTTTATAATTAAATTAAAATATAAATGTTCATCAATGTTATTCAAATGAAAAATTATAATATTATTTTATCAATACAAATCTAAAAATAGATGGATATTATTGGATAAATTCGCCGTGCCTAAACACTAGATTATACAGTATACAAATACAGACAACCACAATGACAATAGCGCATTAACCATTCAACCAGACGTGCAGCGATACGAAAACGGAATAGATGCCATAATTAGTAATCAGTAATCACATAACCAAATCGACTATTATGTTTGTAATTGAATAACGATTTTTCACTGTTACTGCAGTCTGAGTAGTGTCATTTATTACATATGTGATGTTAAATATATTTATAAAAGTATAAATTAATATACTAAATTTCATAAAAATATTATTACTTTTTATTTACAATTTACTATATTTTTTATAACTATAATAGGTTAGTCATAGAGTGATGAATCTATATGGTTAGGTTAGGTTATAGGGATATACCATATAATGATTTGGGTACAAAAGTAATTATATGAAGTTATAAAATATTAAATTTTTACACAGTGGGGCTAAAAAGAATTCGGGGGGGGGGATGCTATATAAAGGAAATAAGCGGGCTGCTTATTGTTCTTTAGGGCCGGTTAAAAATGTATGCTGCACCCGACACAAAATCCAGCGCACGCCTATGACTGTAATTGTTGAAATTTCTCAGTGCAATTATCTCAACTGAATCCGATTAATATGTCGTTGCGGTGTACAGGACGATTTTGAGAATTTCAACAAAACCGTTTCGACTAAAATCGAAAACGCCGTACATCATGTTTGGTAAATCGCGATGGATTACTGTTACATAACAGTCAGTGCGGTGCAATGCTCACAGCTACGTCGATCCATCGTGTCGATCATTGCATCGAGACCTACTACTGTTGCGGTCGTTTTGTTTTAACGTTTTTCGGTGAGCGTTCCGAGTGTTGGTTGTCAATATTAGAGACGGAATACGAAAAACGTTTGTCCGTTCGGTGGCACGGAAGAGCATTCGGAAACCGCTACGCTTATTGCTTATTATTACGCGCATTGCGATCGAAAAACGATTTCATTTTTCGTATACGTCGTGATGTCGAGCATAACCAATAACGAAAGATCCGGGCCGCGGGAAGTGTAAGGCATAATAAAAAAAAAAAAAAAAAATATAAATATTCGTGTTGCAAAGGAAACAGATTGGTATAACGTTTTATGATAAAAACAATATACCGTCGATCAAAGCAATAAATACGTTCCGCGATCGGGTCTCAAGGGAAATGATGGCGGAGAGAAGACGTTGCGAGCAAACGGGTTTTCCGCGACCGCTACAGGAAACGTACGCGAGCGCACGTATCGTTCGCCACGGATCGATAAAACGATCGGGCTGTATGCACGGGAGTAGTGCGGTGACGGTGGTCAAGATTCGGCGATCAAGCTCGACCGGATCAACGTCGTCCGTGTTACGCTAGCGTCGTCGTTTTCGATATTTTTATTTATTTTTTTTTTTTTTTTTACGACGTCTACCAAACGGAAAACCATTAGAAACCAGTATTTCCAGTTTTTTCTCGTCGTGTCCCGGGGGGCGTTGTCTGTGTTTTTTAAGGCAGAGCGTTGACCGTCGGTGAACCGCTCGTCTACGCGCGATGGACCGCGAAAAACAACGGTTGCCGCCGGTCCTGCACAAGCGGTTCGCTGTTAATTGGCGCGCGGGTAGGACGACGAACCCTTTTTCGCGGCGGGGAACGCGATACCGGTGCCGACGGCGTTGGACGCGACGCGCGTTCGTCTCCGTTTCCCTTCTTCCGATCGCAACGCGTTGACGTAGGCGTTCGACCTGTTCCGTTGCGCGTTCACGTTTTCCGCGACAAATCACGTGTTAATCGTTACACGGCAATACATACGCGCGCACCAACGCGTTTTCGAGCGACCGCAACGTTTGCGGCGACGTATAACACGTGCCAGCGGCGTACACCCGTTTTACGTGTTGCGCGCATTGGTCTGCGTCGTAACTTCGTGTCGATTGACGTTTACGCGGGTCCGAACGGAACACGACCGCCGCCGCGTCACGTTCGGATCCGACGAAAATCGCTCGCCGATAAAACCGCGTTTATAATCCGTTCGTTCGGTTGAACCGGGAACCGGTTCGCAACGGGTAGCGTCTTTGGGATTTTTTTTTTTCGGTATTCGTTGACTCGAGCCGTGCGCTCGTATCGTGGTAAAGGTGTCAGGACAATAATTACAAAGCGTTGTTCGTTTTGATCAGAATACATTATATTCAAATTCAATATAATTTTTATAATTTAATTAAAGAATGGTAATACATAATTTACCTAATATTTAATAAACACCAGGTCATTGACAATGCATAGTTTTAAAAGTAATACATTTTTTCTAATCAATATAGGACATAATAGATCTATTATATAATATATACAATTATAAATGTTTAGGTACACATAGTTGTCTTAGAAAAACAAACTAAAATTTAAATCATTAAGTACTTCAAAGATTTTTTTGAATATAAAATGAAAATTATATCAAACTCATTGTTTAAAAACTTAACAAAATAGTAAAATTATAGTTGTTTCCAAAATGTATTCATTTAAATTAGCTATAATTAACTACCTACAGAAACACATTTTAAAAATAATTATATTTTTTTTTTTTTCATATTACTGCTTTTAAAAACATTTTTTTTCGTACAAACTTCAATCGATTTAATGTTATTTAAGGAACATAAACAGGCGATTTCCCAATTAAAAGTCTGCAATAAAACAATTAATTCAGACATTTATTGGCACTGGTGAACAATGAAAAAAAATCATTCTTTTATGGACCATTTATCAAAATACACAATACCTATGCATTACATTATAGATTAATATAAGGCTTACACAACATCCAATCTTACATTTTGATTTCTTCGAAATTATCTAACCGTATTTTTATTAATTTAACTTACGAATAGTTTATTATTTTAAAATATAAATTTCTCATATTAAACAGATTTTGATTAATAGAAAATAATAGATAATCAAGTTAATTTAAACAATTTATTTTATTTTATATTCATTGGCAAACAATTAATTATTTAATGAAAATCAATTTTAATTTTAATAATTAAATTTAAAAACCACATCATGAATTTTCATAAGTTTCAAATGGTACTACAAATACATGTAAATTAAAAACTCTTCAATAGCAAAAACTGAATTTGAAGAAAAGCATAGTAAATAATTTATGTTAATAATCACATTTACAAAAAAATTATTTATTTTTAAACTCAAATAAATCAAATAATATTGTATGATTCTATTCAGGGTACATCTATTAATTGTTGAAAATTATTTTAATGTGATCTTCAAAATAATAACCAAAAATGATTTGTTTATTTAAATTATAGCTTATTTAGATTTCATTTTAATACAATATTTATTTTACTAAACAACTTGTCACAGGTAATATGGGTATATTGTTATAAATTTTTTTTTTAAATTAATATTTATTAAATTACAATTATATATTACTGAACAAACCTTTATCTTAATTTTTACAACTTGTGAATAAAAATACGGATAAACAATTGGAAAAAATAGTAATACAAGAGAAGACTGACGGTTTACATACAATTTTCTATCGAGTTTTATAAATCAGCCAGTCATGCTAGACATTCGTTAATCTATCATGAAATTATTGGAGAAAAAACATAATACAATTAAAACATACCCTGACAATTTAACAAGTTCTTTTGTAATGAACATAAATTATCTACAAGTCTTGAAAAATGTACCTGCAAATTAATAAAATTAAGCAACACCTTTTTTTAATTTTTTTTTTTTTTAGTGTTTTAAATTGTAAAACATTGATTTGCAAGCAATTTATTGTAAACAACAAATGAATAAATACATTTAAAAAAGAATATAAATGGCTGATTCAGTGAAACTATACAAATGGTATAAACAGAATAATCACAGCAAAACTTACACACTAGATTAAATATTTACTCAAAACGGTGACACATGGAATAAATTCAAACACTAACAAAATACCTACAAAATCAGCAACATTAACATAACAACACAATTTAATATAATCCTATATTACTTACTATTAATATTAACTTTGTACATTTAAAAAAATTAAAGAAAAAATAAACAGAGGAATTCTTTGCACTGTTTTGTACTATAGCTTTACAAAACCATATATTATTTAAACAAATTAAAAAAAAAAAGAGGTAGATGGATTAGGAAACAATGTTAAACATTGATTAAAATAATAATAATCATAATAATAATAATTATAATATTGATAAAAATAATGACAATAAAATTAATATTAAAACTCGCTTAAACAAAAACTATAGATATGAATTAGATAATATTAGCCTAATTTATATAATTTAATTATTCTAAAACTTATTAGAAGTGGAGGTAGTCAATTTGTACTATAGGTCATCATTACAAATATTACTATATAATTTCTTAAAGTGATGTTCACCTAACAACAACAAGAGTTAACACTTAACGTCACTTTAAACGTGGAATGTCATAACTTACAACAGAATACTGAACAAACATATTACAGATTGTCTGCACCTTAATTTAGTGCAAAAAATTCCCCAAATAATATTAATATATTTCTTTACTAATAAACTTTACTTAAGACACCAAATTGTACTCTGAGTTATGTACCAAACACGGTAATCATTTTGTTTCAATTATCACTAAAAAAAAAAATATAATAATAAATCATATAATAAAATGTTTGTAACAATAAAAAATAATAATATCGTTAATCACAATAATATAATGTTACGAAAGGTTAACTTACACGCAAAGTTAAGAGGCTTAATGCAACTTAAGAGTTGGAAACTATGTCTTTAAACAAATAAGTGGTATAACCAATTATTTTACCAGTGTAAGATAAACTTAAATAACAAATAAACATGTGTAAAAATTGTATTGAATCTTACTATTTGTTTAGAGTATGTTAAGAGACTGCAAAAAAAATTTGAGTATGTTTTGAGGTAATGAAGTATAGGTAAAAACATATAATAAAATTCTTAACGGGTTAAATAACAAAATAAATAATAATAAAACAGCTTAATCTAAAAAAAAATAAAAAAAAAAAACTATAACATTGTGGTATTAAAAATACTTGTACTATCGTTACATTAAAACTACAGGAGGCGAAATGGTAAGTATATTATGACTTATGTCCCCGCCGCAGTTCGCCTCTTTTATATTTTATTAATTAAATTATTATTATTTTTTTTTAATTTTTTTTAAATTTAAATTTTTTTAATCATAAAATATTCCTTATTTTAAAATTTGTACATTAAGCCGAAAGTTATTTAATTAAAATAGCAATGACATTTCAATTGAACTATTAATTGCATTGTTGACAACACAAAAACATAATCGAAAATATATATATGCCTAAAACAATATTTTTTATATAAAGATGTATGTGAACGACAAGCGCTTTAACATTGATTCCAAATATAAAAATAAATTTCTATTTGGATTATATAATCAAGGTATACATGTATAATATATAATTATTTTTAAGTATGCATAATAACACAATAAAACAAATGCTGGCTTCGATTATATTGTGACTAGTGGAGCAATATTATATGACTAGTATAAAAAAAAAAAAAAAAAAATGAAAAAAAAATATTAAAGGCTTCAAATTTGGAAAATGAATGGTACATCTTTAGACATTTGCATACAATTAAAACGTTTTATCAGGTACAATACACATAATAGATTTTAACTATAATATTCACCTTGTATAATGTATTTGAAATACATAGGTGATATATAAAGCACATTGATAATATAAATAGTTCATTAATAACATGATATTTTGTAAGTAGATTGTTCTAGGCTTTATTTTTTTTTTTTTTTTTTACTTGCAATTAAGTTTTTAATTGTACTATAAATCAAAAATTAAAGGTAGTAAATATATTAATTAAACATTTAATTTTTTTATAATGTGAGTCCTTGTGAATAAGGTTTCCAGTTAAATATATTTAGGAAATTAATTTTTCTATAGAAATGTAAAACATTCAATACCCTTTAAACTATCAAATTCAAAACAACTTTTTAGTTAATGGAATTTTTAAATGCCAATAATCAATGCCTCACTTTTAACAAGATTTTCATAATGTATAATTTTGCACTATAAACCAGTTCATTTGTCACATTAGTATTCAACAAAAATATGAATAATCCCCCCTTTCTCCCCAATCATATCTATATATTTAGACCATTTTTTATATAAGGGCTCGAATTTTCTAAAATACAAGAGTAACAATTAACAACAAAAACCAGCTTTGCTGACTAATAAATGAATACAAATTATATTATAATGTACCATTCAGGGTCAATTTTGTTGTTTTATCAATATGTATTAAATGATAAGAGAGCTGCTTTATGACTTAACTAACAGCATATTACTATAACTTATGGAGACATAAGCAATCCACAGAATAAACATTAACATTTTTAATATTATAAATAATATATTATAGGTTATACTTGAAAATATAACGTGTAAAATCATTGAGGTAAGTTCACATTGAAAGCGGTGTCATAAAAATGTATTTTCACCTAAAAACTAACACCACTTTCATCAGTCTTAAGAGTTGCAGAAGTGTTTATGGTTTACATTTGTACTTTAAAGGCAGTTAGTCTGCAGTTTGCTTATGTACCAGACTATTTTATATTCAACTGGTGGTATAGTTAATGCTTAAAAAGAGGTATATATATTTATAAAATTAGAGGGAGGGTAAAATATTTGAGTGAGGTAGATTTGTTAAGAGTTATTGATTGTTATTTGCAGTTTGTGGAAATGTTGGATTTGATTTCACTGCAATTTCTGTTTTATGTTCTCTTGCAATATGTCGTCTCACTGTATTGTTCCGTGTAAATGTACGCGCACAAAAAGGACACGGCACTCGAATTCCTTGATGCCTCTGTCTTATATGAGCTCTAAGATTTGTTTCGTAACCATATAACCGTTCACAATATGGACATTGTAATTTTTTCCCTAAAAAAAACAATAGTTTATTTCTTTGTTATTAGATGGCATTCTTAGAGTTGACGAGTAGGTGACAATTTGTATAAATATACATTAAACATTTAAAACATTATTGTAATCTTATTGTAAATAGTTATTTTTTATACACAATTAGTGAAGATTTAGATATTAATGGTATTATATTCATTTAGATTTGTCCATATAGCAGATTTGTTCTGGATGTAAAGTCAAATTAAGTTACAACATATTTACATTTTAAAATAAAGAAAAAAAATATTTTATTATTTCTTAAGAAAACTGATTTTTTTCAATAGTAACCAATATTTGAGATCATTAAATAACTGAGAAGGATATAAAATTGTATTATTAGCTTTTTATAACAAAGAATGGTATAGCAGAGTTTGTTAGATATTATAAATATTAGTTATCATTGAGAGTATATTGCTCAGTAAATATGTAATTGTCAATATGTTTAACTATAATTTAATGTCATATTAGAATAAAAAAATTCTACAAATGCTTTTTTCTATTTAAATAAAATAAATTATTAAAATAAATAAAATAACACTATAATCTATTACTCAGAAATATGAAGAGAAAATGTAATTTATTATTAACCTGCGATTATTAGTTTAAATTTAAACACAAATAAAATGCAAATATTTGTTTTTTAAATCTACTTAAGTTGAAACATTATAAATTAGTATACATTACCATCAGCTGTTATGGTAGTCACAATATTTTTATGAGATGTATCTATCTTCCATTGATTCGGAGATGGTGGAGTTGTTCCATTATCTGGTGCTTTCCATTCATTTGTTGTAGTTGTATTTTGAGGAAATTCTGCAGTATTTGCCACAGGTTCAGATTTTATTCGTAAATCTAAAAAATTTTCCATGTGAAATAATATTGAATTATTAATAAAATAATGTGTATTATATGATTGCGTTATATTTTAGTAATTTGAAGTAATTGTGTTTATAAACTATAATAATTTATGTAATATAAATAATGTACCTTCTCCGCAGTTATTAGAGGTCACATTACGGTAATGATGAGCTGAAGTAGAAGCATCTACAGGACCAGAATTATTTGACTGAGGCTGATGAGAATTTTCCAAATGGGCCGATATATGTGCACTGTAGGTTAAAGAAAGAGGAGATTCACGTTCTGGTCTGGAACCATCTCTTAAAACAGATGCTCGTGTAAGTGTATCGGAAACTGGAGTTGTGTTAGGGCTGTTATGGTGTGCTCGTTTGTTTCTTTGGGGATCAGGTGATAAAGGGTGCTGTTCATTTGATTGACGATAATGATTTGGAATCTGACTAAATGAGGTAGAGGGATGCTGAGTTTCCGTGGATCCATTTTGTTTTAGTCTTGTTGGAGAATCTAGTGCTGTTTGGTTTTCATTATTATATTGATCATGCTGAGGTAATAGTGTCAATTTATCATATTCAAATGACAGGCCTTTAACCTAATTAACATATTTAATATACATTTTAAAATTTAGTTATAACAAAAACACTTTTAATACAAACACCTAAATATAATAAAACAATATCAAAATTTAATTTAAATATTACACTCATACAAATGTAAAGGAATTTAAAATTATTATTTTCACCTGTAAATTATCAGCAGTTTTTAGAAAACTAGAGAGTCTTTCTTGAGATATTTGTACTTCACCACGGTACATGAACTCAAGTAACGATGCCATGTTTGTAGACGATGTCCCATCAAGTATAACTATTAAACTTGATCCTAGTGGAGTAGCTTCAAATATTTCTTGAAAATGTTTACTGCATGCTGCCAGAATTAGTTTGTGAGCTTTGAAAGTTTTGCCTATTCAAATAATGTAAAATATTAGATAAACAATTAGTTTATCATAAATTTAAGTAGGTAAAGTAAGAGTAAAATACAATTTTTGTCAACAATAAATTAATATATTACCTTCACAAAACAATGATACATCTGTCAAACTATCTGACTTTAAAAGGTTATCAAATGCAGTTACAAGATTGCTACTAAAACTATTCCACTTTAGACAGAACTGCTGCTGAGGTTCCATTCCAGATTGTTGTTGAAACAGTGTTTAAAAAGACATAACAGTGGCCCTATTGAAATTAAAATTAAATTAGATTATAACAGTGAATTGATAATTACTAAAAACTGTAACCATTATTTAAATAATGAAATTAATAAACAATTAAAAATAATTAGGTGTTTTTGATAAGTAAAATAATTATTTGTTTGATGATAAAATTATCCATAGTGTAACTAATTATAAATTGTTCCGAGTGATTGAACCTTCTTTTACGATTATGTTTAAAATGTGAAGGGGTAGTTTATGGTAATAGTGTACAAGTTCCTACCACTAATGACTATTAAACATAACAAAACATTTTATATATGTAAAATTTAACCATAAATATGAATAATTTATGAAATAGGAATTTTTAGTTTAGTTGATTCTAAAATGTTTTAAATCTTTGTAAATATAAATTAAAGTAATATAGCTAAATCTACATTCATTTTTCATTTTATTATGTTTAATGTTTGGACTGTAATAGTTACAAGTTTGTACTTGTATATTACATTTTAACACTGAATAGTTAAATAACAAACCTAAAGTAAATTACATGTTACACTTTAGCCATAATTTTCATAATATATATAAATAGATAATCCCTTAGATCTGTGGTTCCTGAATTGTGGTCGGCAGAGTCCTAAGGTCTCTGTTTGATTTCCTATAGAAAAGGTAAGAATGTAGCAATTATCGTTCATTATTTGAAACAACAAGCGTATATATTTCTACGAGACACAATCAACTCAGATAAAATTTACCGATACATATAAAACAGTATTAAAACCTCAATAGGAAAATATAATTTTTTAATTTTAGATAATACGTATTCCCATTTTAATATTTCCCAGCCAGATATATTGTATATAAATATAATATTAAATGTACACTATCTCTTTTTGAGTTTCTTCCTATATAAATACATATCATGTGTAATATTCTGTGTAGAACACGCGCAAATAAAACTTAATATTAAATATTTTTAGGGCTCCATGAGAAAATATTGCTTATAAACATGCTCCATCGCTGTTTTAGATAAATAAATTATCGTTTATTCTTTATATATAATTTTAAACATCATTTATTCTTAATTTCCATCAAAATTAAATTAAGAAATAGGGTCAGTTATCATATTGATTCTTCATTGGATAACAAAAATTGTATATTCCACTTTGATTTTAAAAACCTTTTTTAAACTTAAAAGTGATTCAAAACATACTTATTTATAAATTTTTTTTTGTAAAAATAATTGATCTTTCAAATATGAAGTAAGATTCATATAAAAATGTTATTTCATTAAATAAAAGTATATAAAAATTATGATGGACAGTGAATATGTTTAACAATACAAATTCAAAATATATGTTATTTTATATTAATCGATATATAATTATTCTATACTTAAAATATTTAACTCATATATTTGTATAGTTTGATCTCTTAAAAAATATCCATGGATTTGTTTTATGGCCTATAGAAAATGTGGTTTTATTTTTAAAAACTGTCATAAAAACTACAGAAAACGATCTTAAATTATCTGAAGAAACACCCGTCTTCTTGGTTTTCATTGTAATAAAAATAAGATATTTTAAATTAATTTACTATAGAATTTTATTTGTTTCATTAAAATAAAGTTTTAATAAATCAAAATTTCATTATTTTATATTATTTATTATACTTTATAGTATTGTTTAAATATAAGAAGTTAATCTTTTAAATATCTATAGAAATGTATCTAAATCTAATAAACATTTATAGATATCTAATAGTTATTATATTTTAATTTGAAAAAAACCATTTTAACTCAAATTATATGATTTGTAAAAATGGAAAAGTAAAAATATATTATTTGTACATAAGAAAGATAATTATGAAATTGTGGTTACATGTTCAAATAACTGTGTTTAAATATATTTATAACATAATGAAAGTCATTGATATAGATACTAGAACTAGATTCCAATAAGAATTAAAATTTTGATATTTTATTTATGCACATCACTAAAAATATTTAGATTATTACAATAGCATAATAAACTGTTAAAAAGTTTTATTTGCTTTATCTAAAATTGAAGTATAGAAGTGCTGCACTAAAATTTTGTTGTACACAGATAGTTTTCAAGTTAGATATTATTTAAAATCAGCAAATAGTCAATACTTTAACAAGTGACTAACCAGACTAGTTTCAATTTATAAAATTAACAAAGTTTAACATTTTTAAACTTTGATCGCACAATATTTTATTGAGAGAAAACTATTTAACACTAATACCTAATGAATTTAAGTACATATAAAATATAAAATTAGCAGTTAATTAAATTATTAATTTATTTATATAGGTATACAATACTAAAAAAATATTACAAGAAATACCCAAGTTATGTAATTTATATTTTTAATTTACTATTGTTTGATAATATGTTAAGTGATTTGTTTAAGGATTCCTATTTATAGTTTATTAATTTAACTATTACAATTAAACAAGAATTTACAACGAATAAAATAACTATTCTTAATAAGAAATTGATGAATGTAGATGATTTAAAAATATCAAATACAAAATGTGTTAAATCAACAGAGAACATATTATCATAATAGGTACATTAACTTAAAAAGGTAGTAGTAGGTAGCCGATTAAAATCATAGTTTACTCTTAAGTGTATATTGAATACATCATGTAAATTATCATATTCATGAATAACATTGACCTGTTTTGGATGTATTTACCAAATAGATGTTTATAATTCTATTAGCTATAGAAATAGATGTATATTATACATTTCTATTCACTGGAATACTTTTTGTTAATCCTTATAATAAAAGTTATAACAAATCACCAATAACTTGTAAATAACAAGCATATTTTTTTATGGTGATCGTTAAGAAAAATTAAAAATATTGTCTTATTGATAATAAATATATACTAATATTGTTATATAATTAATGGAGATGACACAAATTGAGATTTAAAGTTACTATATTGTCATTAATAATTTAACATTATCTTGATTAAAAGATATCAATTTATAAACATTTTACCTACAGCTCTATTTCTTGATAACATTAATTCTTTGTCTTATTGATGCAAAGATCAATAACCTTTGAGTTAACATTAAATAATACATGTTTTTTTTTATCAGTTAATATAAATTATTATTATTGATAAGCTAAGAAATTTGTATCGGTCAATAACAAAATTAATATATCCGATACAAATGAAAACATAAAACATCTACAAATAATTCTAAATCATAACTTAGATACTATACAATGTTTATTATTTTTTCACAGTTATTAAATCGAAAAAAAATTATCATAACTAGATAATTATAACACCAACACAGACTTGATAATCTATTATCAAAGCTATGAATATTAAGTGTATTTTATCACAATAATATGTATAGTTGTACTAGGAACTGGTTGCAGGTTCTTAAAATAATAAAGAATTCAGAAAAACAGGTTTGGAAAGATGAAAAGTAGGTATTTTTAGATTTGATGATCTCATCATGTAAACATTGGTTGGTAAAATACAATTTTATGTTTTGTTGTTTTTTTAAGAATGTGAAAAAGTGGAAAATAATTTTGAATAGACTATATGAATAAGAAACAAGATGGAGATACAGATTAATTACTGGAATATGCAACTGAAATAAGGAAAAACCAACTCAAAACAACTCTTCAACTATAGTAACGATTATACAAAATTATAGCAATTTATATTGTGTTGTTGTCTGACGACTCTGTGCCAAGTCCAATAAAAATAATACAGTTAAGGATCACATTGTGATGCAAAGTAACAAAGTGTATAAAAAAAATACCTAATAATATTATTTAACTCACCGATCAGCAGGTTGTGGCACGGACGACTCCGTCAAACATCCATGGCATCGAGGTAGTCACCTCGGTCGTCGCGTTCTCAGGTCTGCGCAAACACACAAGTTTACATTTATAGAACTGTTTGATACACACCTCTTCTAGTCAGTATATATATTTATATTAATTAATTAATTTAATTTTTTTTTTTTTTTTGTGGGAGGTAGGGTTGGCGATGAGGTGCCGGGCGCGAGAGGATACGATTTGAGCGAACGGAGTCGACTGTTTAGGGGTGGGTTCGGCGGGTTGCGATTTTCGATTAATCGTCGATCGTGCAGCACACGCAGTCACCGCGCGTAATGGCAACTAATGACATCAGCAGTCGCCGGGCGCAACGTCTTTGCGGACAATGCAAGTGCAAACATTTGCATAACGCGCAGCAGACGACCGTGAAACAGCGCCGTGTGCGCGCAGCAACCGCTGAGGAGGTGGTCGAACGGAGTATGTGTGTCTGGCCGTCGCGAGCCAACCGACGTCAATGCGGGTACGTCCTCGACGGGGGCGCCAGCAGCGTCTTTGCCATGTACTCGCGCGTACGATATCGCGTCCCGCGGCGGTTCGCGCGGTTAACAACTCGGACGGTGACGGAGGGGGTGGGGATGGTCGGTGGAGGTGAAGACGAAGAGTATCGGAGAGAGAGAGAGAGAGAGAAAGAGAAAAAGAAATAAAACGAGTACAACCCGTACGGCGGGTAGTAGGTTGCACGCACCACGTCGAAATAAAATACGTACACGTACACCCGAACGGAGGGCGCGCGCGAACGGTTCGGGAGAGGGGAAAAAAAACGAAGCACCACCGTGGTAAAATATTTAAGTGGAAAATTGTCGAAAATCAAAAACGAAGCGATGACGGCACAAGGCGACGGCGGCGTCGAAGTGCTGCTCGGACGGATACGTGTGCACACGTCGGAAGAGAAAACGCATAAATATTGAGTGAAAAAAAAAAAAAAACAAAAATCGCGATTCGCGAATCGTGTCGAAATTGACGGAGTACGGAGGCGGGCAAATATTTTATTTTATTTTTTATTTTATCGTTGATGTTTTTTGTTGTTGTGTTCATTACCTCGGCGTATGAACTCCCGCACGAGTGTCGGTGGCGAAAAAAATTGTTACAAATTAATTAACACGGCGGACGTGAAAAAAAAAAAAAAAAAAAATTGCAATCCTGCAACCAGGGAAGAAACGCACTCGCTCTCACACACGCACAAGCACACACGCACACACACACACACACACACACACACACACACGGACGCGCGCGCAATCGTTTACGCTCATTCACACACTCGCGCGAGACGCACACTCGCAGAACGGCACAGCGGTCCGGAAGGCGAAAATGGCATAATGCAGTAGGTCAAACTGATGAGTCGCGTAGTTTCGCACTGACGTTTTTGCATTGGGCAAAATCGCACTAGCTGCGAGTGCGCACTGTGCGAATATCGCGCTCGGCCGCACGCGGTTTTCCCCTCCGGGCGGCAGCGACGGCGCGCGCGCGCGGGCGCGCTCGGTTCGACGGCCACCGCCGTCGTCCCGCACTGCCCACCCTGCCCGCGGCCGTGGCACCGGACCGGCGCAGCGCGCGCAATGTGGTCTAGGCGATGTGATTTTTTTTCGCACTCCCCTCCGCGCCCCCATAACCCCGTATCGACCGCGCGCCGCAGCTCCTACACGGGCGACGCACTCGCACGCACACACGTTGCGCCGCGGCTCGCGCAATCGGGTCGGCCGACCTCGTCAGCCGTCGACGCACCTATTGCGGCGGGTGCGTGTGCGCGCGCCGCGCTCGATTGCGTATGCGTGTGCGTGTGTGCCGCCGCCGCCGCCGGTCGACCTGTCGACGGCGTACGCGTGGGCCGGGCGGGACGGGAGCGGAGGGATCGTCGGCGATGCGACGCCGCCTCGTACACGCCGTCGGAGGACGTGCGCGCGACGGGAGAGGTGAAGACGACGTGCACGGTGTTGCAGCGCCCATATACGTTGCAACACTGCGTTGTTCTTCGACCTTACACGAATTGTGCGGCGGTGATGGCCTTCGGCGGCCCGCAACTCGCGCGAGAGACCGAATCGCGCGCGCACACGCCAAGAACGCCGCCGCGCGAAGGTTTTTTTTTTTTTTTATACTCTCCTATATACTCTCCGTTCCATTTAGCCCATTTCGCTACGCTGCCGCTATTTCGTTTTTACCCTCCGCCGCCGCCATCGCTGCCGTTACTGCCGCACGCACTCACGCAGCACGCATTGTAATATTGTGTTTCGTCTATTTTCCCCGTCGCTCGTTCGCGGAGCGCGCGGTTTTATTTTACTAGTTATTTTTTTTTTTTTGTTTTCCCTACCCGTATCCCCCGCCCGCGCCCCGTTGGTCACGCGCGTTATACCGGATCTCCGAAGGCCACCGCGGGCCGGTGGGGAAGCGCACCGCGACCGCGCGTTCTCGTTTTGCCGCGCAAATTTCGCACGCACGCACTTTGTCCGCCGCGTACGGGTTACCTCACTACATTATACGTGCGCCCGTCCGACAACCAGTTTTGCGGCGTTCACCGGTTATCCGCACACACACACACGCGCGCGCACCGACCGGCCAATAACGTACACCGGTGCTGCGTGCACGTACACGCGGAGAGTGTACACCGCGCGCGCGTGTCCCGAAAATGCGTATACGGGGCCCATTGTGCCGAACACCTTTTACAATCGTACCGGAGTTACCGCCTCTATTCATACGCGGGGTTACGCGGCCGAAACAATATTGTACGGTATTGTTTACTCCTGTAAATAGTGTGTACTACGTATTATATCACATGCCCATTATGATGCGATGCATTATTATGTATACGTACATACGTACGTACGTAATAGACGTTTCGTTTGCGTTTGAACGTGTCGCTGTGTCGAAACACTTAAAATTAAACATTTAAGCGAACAGAAAAGAGTGTTGATTCGAGCGACACTCGAACGCCGCACGGTATCTAATGGATAAAATGTGTACAAATGTATTTGTATACATGTATATGGATTTGTTACGTTTCGACCCGAACAATGTTTAAACGATTTAACGTGTTATATAATACTCCGTTTAATTTATAATATTTTAAACTTGAATTCGATAAAACGGGATTTACACAATTTTAACCGTGACGTTAGATGTTAGTTTGATTTTCCTACAATCAAGTCTGCCGAGTATTCCGCTGTTGCGCGTAATTTTCACCGATTTTTTTTCCGTTCAATTCCGGTCACAAACTTCGGACAATCGATGAAATGATGCAATTATTTTTTGTTTTTTCAACTTGCTTTAAATTCAAACGATGTATAAACATCCGGGAGACAGGGATAGACAACAACCCACACCTATGCGCGTATTATTCTTCCCACGTGAGTTCTCATAATTAAACCAAATTAATTTCGCCGCCGCAACACAAACAACAAATCGTGTTACCGACCGTTAACATGCGCGCACGTAACACACACTGTCGAGTGTTGCACACCGCGAAATTCGAAAACATCTCGTTTCGGTGCCGCGGCGCGTAATAACATTCCGCCGAAAATAATTGACGGTTTCAGGCCGGGATGCAATAATTATTATCGAGGTGTAATCGGGGAGCCACGTCGTCGTAATCACCTCCGCGGATTCCGCATGATCCGGTGATGTACGTTATTTAGTTTATAATTTATGCGCGATATTATTGCGTTGCTGCCGCGACGTCGTTTTTTCGAACGCGGCAGGCACGCAAATTTTTCGTTCGCCGCTGTTAGGTTCTGTTGTACACCGTGTTACAGGTAGAGACATCCACGAGCCACGTACGGTTCGCCTTCTACTTCGCGTCGCCGGTTACAATATAAATACGGCATGGGCGTGACGACGGTCGTGTCGTAAATCGCGCGATTCCGGCGGGTTTTCGGGTGCGCGCTCTCGGAAACCGTGGCACAGGACCTCTTGCGTATTCATCGTTCCGCGGCCCGTACGTTTCCAAGAACGGTCGGATCGTTGTGCAATATATTAACACGTCGCAGGACATATTGTTCGGCTGCGGCGGATGAAACGAGTCGACGACGTTAAGTATACGCTGCCGATTCCGATCCGGTACCCCGTTCCGACGCGCATATTCGTCGGACAATGCGTTTTCGTAAAAAACGTATAAAAAAAAAAAATAGAACCCTTTCGCACGCGGTTACTATATCGAGCTGTGTGTGTACAGGGTGATTCGTTAACGCGACTCGGCATTCTGCGTATCATACAGCACCGGTCCGAGTACGGTGTTTTTTTTGACAGCACATAATAGTACGATAATAGATTTGTTAATTTGTTACAAACCGACTCGGTGCATCAATTCATCTCATGTATCAACATTAATAAAAAAAGGTTGCAACATCTGTAGATGACGCGAAATTTATTTATGAAACCGACGATACAATTGTATCATGTCCACGTATTTGATTTTCTATTTATTTTTAAAACCTGTAAAAGGGAAAACATTTGGGATCAACAATTTAAAATATGAAATGTGGATTTTATTTCGACACGCCGTTCTATGATGTATATTTTCTTTTTAAAATCGAAATAACGGGGAATTAGACTGTATAGATTTTTTTTACTTTTATAACAACCGCTAACCGGGTTAGGCCCACCCGCCGAGATGGATCGCCAATGGAGTTAACTCTAATAATAGATAAAAAGTTTTTAATGATATTTCAAGTTACAACTATGTGCATATTCAGTCATTCAGACTTGATATTCTCACCAATAATTCTATTTAAGGTATAAAGTTAAAATTTGGTCTAAATTTGAAATCAAGAGTTAATTCTGATTTTATCCGGAAAATAAACAGAGGGGATGAATATATCTCGAGTACGGCACCATATTCGAAAGGTCGATGCAATTCGCCGGTCTGCGAAGCTTCTTCAACCAGCCCGAAAGGAAAAAGTATTTCAAAGAAATATCACGTGTTTTATTATCAATAATTATTTTCGCAATATAATACTATTTTATATTATTATCGTAACAGCAGTAGTAATGATAATTATAAATCGAATGCTTCCCATCGAGAATAACTAGGTAGCACGTCAGGCTTACAGTGTTCGATTATGATAAAGTAATGTATTTATGTGCATCTCGTTTTTTATTATTGCGATTAAAGTTTCACCGACATTGTTATCATCTGAACTGAAGGCTATAAATGAATGTACACACTTCCTACAACGTATTTGCCGATAAGTTTCACGAAGTAAACACGCACATGTTCCTAAACGTACAATGGTCATCACTCTGTATGCTCGCTGTATATTCGTCTACGTAATCATATATTTTTACATATATATATGTATATGAATATTTGCATATTTGTATACACAATACATACTATATTTTATATTATAATAGTTTTGTTCTTTATTTTTTTCTCTACGTTTTTTTTTTTTTTTCTTCTATCCTTTCCCCCTACCGTTCCGACGCACCGGATAGAGCAGCTATTTGGCAATGTCAAGTATATATTTCGCTGCACACGCACGGCACGGCACGCACGCACGCACATGCACGTGATAATAGTGGTCCTGGACCGCGGGGCATTGTAATATGCGTACGGCCGGTCGAGGTTTTACTTTTTCGTACATACGTAATTTTTCGGTTCTGCGCCACATAGGTGTATTGTAATATATTACGCGCCCGTGTAGCCGCTGCTACCACACGTCTTTTTCTACACATGTTCACAAATATTATCCGTACGTTTATACGTGCGCGCGCGCGCGTACACGTTTCACATGCACGGTATATTTGGACGGATTATTAATGCAGAAACATGTATCCACCACCGCCGCCGTTGATATACATTATGATAATAATACGAGTGTGCGCGCGCGTTTGTAAATGATTTGTTGTTAGCGTTTTATGTAATCAATAAAACGATACCTCCGACCTTCAATACGTATACGTATTCTACACACCGTGTGTATACCAATGCATTCGGCGTAATAGTATCGTTATATTATATATACGCGCTATGCAGCCGATCGAACAAAAATTATCTTTTTTTTTATTAGAGTAATAATACCAATAATAATAATGATGATGATGATGATAAAAACTCCGAGCCTTTATCCGTTACGAATTGGCCTCGGTGCCATAAGTTGAGTGTAGGACCGTTTTACATATGGTTTTTTTTTTTTTTGGATCGCACCACGTTTTCTCCCAAAATCTATAGCTGTAGACTAGTATGTATTCTCTGCAGCAGAGTAGAGGTTTTCTAGTTTCGACACGAAAAAATGCAAACGTTATTAAAATAATACGATGCGTAGCGTACCCGTACCAAGCAACACTCGCATTTGGGGAAAATTATAAACTTTTTATTAAATAAGCACGTGTTCTATACAGTTGATGTGTGTTTGTTTTCACATCAATGTATAAAATATTAAATATAATATTATATCTATAATAATATT